CCATCATGCGATCATTGTGTTTGCTGCGCGCACGCAAACCCCCGCTGATGAAAATGTCGGAAAATCGAGGTTATCCCTTGCAACTATATGAATGACTGAATGCCGAATGAGGGGGCGTGTGTAGCCCCGCCCCTGGCGGCAGGCATCGACGATACCTCGCCTTTTAACTAGCCTAGCCCTTGCACAGGCATTTGCTATTCAGCCGCCGCGCACCTGCTTGCCCTGCACATCTAATCTCGCACTGGCCACCAGCGCTTGGCAGTTCCTGCTTGGACAGTGGGACGACGTTTTGCGCGCCCAGGTCCGCGAGCCCACGCCTGCACAGGTGCGCCGCCTCCTGCACGTATTTTCCGACGGCTTGGTGGACATCGTCAGCACCTCGTGTCTACCAGCACTGCCAGCTGGCAAAGCACGCTTGCACCACAGCCCGCACAGCCCCGTTTTTTTTGCCGGCCTGCACAGCCGCCTGCCGATCCGCTTTCTGTGCCGGCCCCGCGCCCGCAGGGCTACGCTCCCTCGCCTGCACAGCTCCAGCCGCACATCCAGCCGCCCGGCAAGGGCAAGAGCACTTTCCCACCAGCCCGCTCGCAAGGCAAATTCGGCAAGCCCGCCAGCACGCCCGCCAGAAAATGCGCCATGAAGGAATGGGTCCTGGAGTTCCAGGTGCCCGTCTGCGCGTTTGGCACCGCACGCCTCGCCCTTCGCCACCATGCAACCCAGCCCTCTCATTGTGCACGACGTCTTTTGGAGCACCAACGGCAGGCCTCTTTATGTAGATAGCATGCACATGCATGCACCGGGTTTTCTGTGCAGCAACTTGCGACAATCCCGCGTGCCCGCTCGGCGGAAAGCCTTGCGACCCTGGGACAAGCCCTTCCGCGACGGCACTGACTCACTGGCAAACCCTTAAATGTAGAATCCCCCAGTAGCTTCACGCACAGGCAAGCCCTGAAAACTAGAATCGCCCAATAGCTTGACGCACAAACAAACCCTGAAGATTAGAATAAAGCACAAACAAACCTTGAAAACTAGAGTCGCCCAATAGCTTGACGCACTGGCGAACCCAAACCATGTCCCGCCAAAGCTTTAAAAAGAAGGCTTCCCGCGAAACCTTTAAAATAACGACTCTCCACCACACAACGAGGCGAGCAAACCGCCTGGCAGGAGCTTCCCACTGGGCCCCACAGCTCCTTCCGCGACGCTCTCGCGGTCCGCAGCCTAGCATCCTTGCACCGTGAGCATCACTTGCATGAAACTCCCATCTCAGGCCAGGGGCTATGAGGGCGCGCTCTTCCTCGGCCCCGGCCAGGCAGATGTGAATCACTCTCCCTCGGTCCTTTTCTGAATATCTTCCAGGAGAAGGTTGGGGTTGGCCTTTTCTGGCAGCGCGAGCGTGCATCCATGGTGGACACCTTTCCAAAGGAGTGCCATGGGAGCGGGGGAGAAAATTTAAGCATCTATGTGGAAGCGTGAACGGAAGAGCCCAGGCCCAGCCTCGCCACATCACAACTTAAACAATCCCAATCCCGGCCAGAGCCAGGGCCAGAGCCACAGCCCACCTCAGATTTTGGGAGGACCAGGTCGTGCCATGCGGTATGGAGACAGGCCACCTGTGTGTTCACCCGCTGCAGCGAAGCCTTGGCATGGTGTCGAGTTGCCACCCGAGATATCATAAGCCCTGCCTCAGCACATGAAGTCAGACCTACACAGAGGGCCAGAGGGCATGAGATGGCCCAAGTTGAGCTCAGCAGAACCCGCCAAGTGGTGGGTGTACAAATTAGCTTTCAGCGTCGTGACAAACTCCACATCGGCCGCGTGAGGCTCTTATGGCAACGTCGACCTGAAAGAAGCAGGGCTCAGGGACATGGACGCTGAATTGCACCACATTCCCGGGTTGTGCCTCCTGGGTCCGCTGTAGGATTGGCCTTGGTGAGCTGTTTAGCTGCGTCTTCTGCCTCGGGGCCACAAGCCTGAGCCGTCTAAGTCGCTCGAGCTGCGCCTTCCAAAGCTTGGTATGCTCAGGACAGGCGTCTGGCCGGCTTTGTCAAGCTGACTGTAGATGAGCTCCCCACTCTTTTGTGCCACTTGGCTGTTAGGTCGGAGGAGGTTTAAGGAGCTGGAGCTCTCACGAGCTTGTGCTCACCTTCAGCATGACTTGTTCCTTAGATCCATGAATCGCCAAAAGAAAGCTCCTCCAAGGTGGCACTCACCTGATGACAGGTTCGCGCGACAAAGAAGGCAAGATTCGTCAGCAGGCCAGGAGAGAGAGCTAGGACCACCTTTCCGGGGCCGAGCGTTTAGCTGAAAGGGCAGATGTGGACACGAATTGTAGTTCGGGTCGTGTTCTTTGCAGCAGAGGCACGTAGAGTTTCCACACACTACGGCACTACGGGTCCCTGTAAGTTTCATTCTGCACAGATCTTGCTTGTTTTTTTCAATTAAGTTTCGCTCGGAAAGCAATCGAGCTCCCATGCACATTTTACGAAATCATGCTCGTCTAGACGGGCTCGCCTCGCTTCAAAGCCTCATGACTTGCCTTCAAAAGCTTTCAGTATGGTTCTGCCAAAAGGCACAAATCACTCGTTGTAAATTTTGCGAGAGTGCTTCCAACACGTCCACCGTTCATCTCGGCAGGAGCTAGTGACGATTGCAGATCTGATGAAGGCGTGGGCAGATCCTGGCGCAGGTGGCCGCCAGGGAATTTCTAGCTGAGGGTTCTGGTGGTCACATCATTGGTCGGCCCTGGTCCAAAGCTGGCTACTTGCGGGAAACAACGTACGGCTACTAGCTTTGCTGATGAGTGTCCTCTTTGAGGTGCTACTCGACTTGAGGCAGTATGTGCCTGCTGGATAGAGCCGGGGTATCCAATTCTTTTCTCGGGTGGATGATTTGTGACGTTTTGTGACGAGTTCGTGGAACCAAGCCGCCAGGAGTCATTCTCTGCGGGGATTTCAACGTGAATTCCCGTGGATTTTTGGAGGACCGGCTGAGAGCACGGGGTGAGCAGTCAGACTGGCACCCCAAACACGCAGCAAACACTTCCCAATCGCGGCCTGTACACGATCCCACGTTTGACGACGACAGCGCAAATCAAGAAGCTCACACTGCCATCAAGTATACAGAGACACCAGGGACCGCGCCAAGCAAGGAGGAGGCTGTTCAAGACCAGTTCTTCACAGAGTGCAACCGCCAATTCGGGCGGATACTTGACAATGTCGCAGGAGAGACGACGCGCGATGGCCGTGGCTGCTCAGCAACTCCCCGGCTTCAGACAAGGCGACGACGACCCCCGACAGCTTCTCTCGCTTAACGAAGCGGCTAGAAAGGGCCTCTTTGTCAATCCCACAGGAACAGGTGGAGCTGGCGAACTTTTTGCCAACCCGTCTAAACCAGCAAGCCGCCCAGCGACAACCGAGACAACAAGTTCGAGAAAACAACTGTGTCCGTGAGTGCGGACCCTTACAAGCTTGTGTGCAGCACGCACATCAAGCGACAAGACATCACTGCTGCAAGCTATCACAGTTGGATAATTTGCAAATGCTGCGTGCTCTCAAGCGTGCAATTCTGGACGACCTCCAGGATGCAGACTTCCACAAGCAGGACACGGCCAACGACATTTGTTCCGAGGGCTAGCTCATTTCAAGCGCGACATGCTGCTGACACGCCGGGAACGTCGCCGAACAAGGAAATTGCATTGTTGTTTCCGGCAGGCACAGGAGGGCTCACAGCAGACGGAATGACAAAGGCGGCAGGCTGGCCTTCGTTCCAGCAGCAATCGCGCTTTCGCAACGGCTTTCGACAACCCGCAGAAAGCGAACTGAACTGGTCCACGTGAGGCTGAGACGAACATGGTCCTACAGCCAAGTCACGCATCATGACTCTCCCACTGCGCGTGACATGCAGCCGGGAATACAAGGAGCTCGCCAACGTTGTCACAGAAACGACGACAAATATACATACCAAGTCTACACTCGTGTAAGCAGCCAGCATCCGCACAAAGCACCTTCAAAGCAGTCGCAGCACAACACGTGTTCAGCGTGACAAGTACCACCGTGACAAGTTCCATACAGTAAACAACAACAGTCCCACAGGACCCGCAAGACAGCCACGCACAGGGCGAGTCGCGAAGGCAAAGCTCATGCAGTAAAACTCAAAGAAACTTGAAGAAATCCATGTCCGAAAGAGCAAGCGCAGTCATATAAAGTGAAAGCGATCAAGACACCACTCGCGCCTGACAATCTCAACCCACTCTTGTCGAAGAACAATTTACGCCAGCGTAAATCCACAAACAGTGATAGACCACCACGACCTTGACGACCATTGACGACCATGACCACGAGGACGAAGGCGACCAAGATGACTACGACCACTTGAGACCACAAACGATCACCAGGGGACACTAGCTGTTGCTCTTCAAGTACTAGCGGGGGTTCGGCAGCACCCCCAGAATGCATCCTGCAAGTATTTTCGGATCCGGAGACACGACCCTGATTCTTTCCCCCAAGTAGTGGCGGCTACTGGCTGGATTCGGGAGTCCAGGAGCACGGCCAAAACGTGACAACAAGTTTTTGCCCCAACTGATGGCGGGATTCAGGAGATGCTCCAAAACACTTCCCCCCTTCGATCCTGTGTACAATACATGATCACCACATCGGCAGCTGCGTCCTGGCCGGGGCGCGTGCCTCGCACAGCAAATCTTGCTCTGCGCGTTGTTTTCACACTGTTGTGTGACCGACTCGGTAAACTGTTTCGAGTCCCGCTTGATCGCCGTAACAACCAGGAGGGGGGAACTACAGAAAATATGAGTCATTACGGTACTTTTGGGCCCATGACATGCGCTCGTCTCTTGAGTCTTCCACCTTCTGCTCTGGTTCTTGGACATGGCTCCTTCAACGCTTTTCCCGATTTAAGAGGCTGACATGTGTGGTTTGAGTTGTGCACCCGACAGAGTTTAGCTGCGGTGGTTCCCTCTGCGGAGCTGCTTCTGGTAGAATGTTGCAGATCCAATCGTGGTCATGGTGGCTGCAGACGTTTGGCGATTTCCTCCGTAAGTGCTGTACCTTATCATCTTGCCTTGCCTTGAAATGCCAGCTTCCAGTCCTTTGAGCTGCTCTGCTGTCGCCACTAAATAACTCGGGCGTGGAAAGCTCACGGCTACTCGCTGCACCGCCTTGAGTCCACGATGCTCTCGCTTATTCGACTCCGAGGCTCTCGAGGTTTTTTTCAATTCCTCAAACAACTGCAATGTGCATGAACGTCAGGGAGGGAGGTTTATTGCACAGAGGCGGTGACACGTGAGGATTGCACGCCCCTCTTGTCTATCAATGTGAGCGTGCGTTGAGGCAAAAGGCGGTGGGGAGGTAGGAGCTGCCCGGGAAAGCTCAAGTCGGTTTTTGCGGATGTAGACTCCGCTACTTGGTAGGAGCACATCTGGGAAGGATCCTTTGCAGCAAGGCAGTGCCACGGCTTTTGCCGTCCGGTGATGTCAGGGTGCTGGTGTCTGCTTTTAGGATGCAGAAGGCCGCCATGCGGTCCATGTGCTCAGAAGTGCATTGACATTGACGCAACATCCCACACCTCTAGGTATAGGTCTGAGTCTGTTGACGCTCATCGGCTCCGGCTCAGGAACTGGCTATGTGCGAGACTCCGACACCAAGGCAACCAGACAATGCACATCAACGCACCAGACACTCGAGTTTGTTGGCTTTGCACTTTTCGGCCCAGGCAAACCGTTTTTGCTGGCAGCGAAGTGGTGCTTCACCACTCATACTTCGCGACGCTTTCGATTCCTGCTACGGGGATGAGGTACAGCCGGCGCCGGTGTTGAGGGGCAAGCCCGAGCATCCATGCCATGTCCTGTGCCAGCCGGCATGCAGAGCGTTGGTAGTGGCAGCACAGGTCACATATAGCACAATGCCCAGTTAAAGTCGCGGTTCTGGACTGCTTAGACTCTTCATGTCAGGCCTGCTCGTCGACTCGAACGGGCACGCGCCTGGAAACCATCGAACCTGAGCTTTGCACAGTCTGCACATGACTGCTTGTTTCAAAGACAGAAAGATGAGATGAGACCTCGAACTAGTCTCGAATCATTCCGACTGCTTTCAACTAACATGGGTGGAGTTCAAGCCACCGTTCTGTGAATCGGGTTCAGTGGGAGTGACGGGTTGTCGATGAGGCAAAATAAGGCATATGGAAGTCAGCATGTAAACGAATGTTTATGAAACAAAGCTTGGCTGAGCAGATTGCTTAGCGGAGATTGTTGCTACGAGGAATGACTAAGACAAAGGGGTTGCCTCGTGTTGCGTGCCTGTATCAGTTTGCTGGCCACCTTTGACAGCTGCTTCGATAATTTTCGATGTACAGCTCGGATGGACCCGTCCAGCCTGGCCGAGTAGACGTTCCAGGTTCTATGGCAACTACTTTCTGTTCTTTCGTTCTTTCTTTTCCTGCACAGCTCGGGTACTATAAGATTACGATCTGAAAGCAGCAATGGAGCAATGCCTTTGCCAGCTTGACGCCGAAGGGTTCATAGAAGGCAGAGCCATGTGGGACCGAGGACTACATATTTTTCGACGAGGAGGCCTACACTCTCTTGGACAGTGGCTTGGTCTGGAAGATGCGCAATGGCCTAGGCCTAGATTGCATGGACTTCAACCGTTAACTGTCGGAGGAAGGGTGCGCTGCTATACTTGTGAGGTCTTCGCAGACGTAGCTGAGACGTCCTGCGAAGATTCAACATAATCTGATCAAGGCTGCTGCTCTACTCAGGCTCGAAGTTGCGGTGTCCGGAGCAGCCAATGCCGAATGCAGAGGAACCCTCCGACCACATTCCTGTTTGCGTGTCCAACCTGCAGCTACGCAGTTACGCTGCCCGCAGTGTAGGCATAACATGAAGCCAGCGAGGGCTGTTACTCCGGACAACAGACCAGTTACGTATCCGATTTGGCCGAGGCCACTTTCCAACGAATCGGCAAATGAATCAGCTGTGGCACTATTCCGCACCTTCCTGCACGGAGAAGTCGACATCAGTCTGGCTGCTAGCAAAGTAGCTGGTGGCTGTCTAGCTTCTCTTTGAAGCAGAGCCGCCACGCTGGCCCGAAGTTATCGCTCTTTCCCTGCATGATCTCGCATGCGCATGCCAGAAAAGGTACCTGGCCCTGAGCCACAAGCATTGCACGAGTGCTGTTGCTGTGGCATATTTGCAAGGGGATCGCAGCAGACCCCGTGCAGAACGTGAGCCAACTGCATTTTTTCCGACCTACTACATGTATGGTGAGCCTGCAAGTCATAAATCCCTCGCAGGTCCTTGGCAGCTGTTGTTGTATCTGCTTGCGTTCGACGCGGGGAGGCACGAAGCAGAGACAGCACGAGGATGTAATTCTGATGTATGTATGCATACATGTATGTGGGTATGTCGGTAGACGTTAATCGTTAGTGCATGCATGTGTGCATCTATGTGTCTGTGTGACAACCACACACGTACGCGGAAGCGTGCCTCAGCCTAAGGTGTCGTCCGTCAGTCTACAGGTATTTACTGGCTACAAAGTTTGGCATTCGAAGCCGAAGGCGCGCTCCCACCTCAGGCCTCCACAGAACCTCTGGCAGATTCAACCTTGATTTATGACAGAAGAAGGCGGTGGTGGAAGGGACAGGTTTGCGGCCGCTCATGGACACCATCGTTCGTGTGCCGACACAAAGTTGGACCTGCGTACAAACGACGAGCGGAGCGTCGTGCCTCTGAATCCTACAAGCCTAGCAGCTGCGGTTCTCCCTTGGTTCAAGTGCTCTGCAGCACATCAGTGGGGTTTTTCAGAGAGATAAAAAAAACTTGGGATTGTCGCCGGAGCCAGAGGTGTGTGTTGTGAACGTATGCTGAGCCAAGCGCAGCCAGCTCTCGGGATCTTTAGCTGTGATTGCTTCTTGACGAGCAACCCAGAAGATTCTTTAGCATCATGCATCTTTTGTGCCTGGGGCAAGCGGCAAACCTTTGGCTTTCCATTGCGGCCACGATGGGCGACTGCACTCCGAGTGCTCGCTGATACGCTCGAGTACGCTGGAGTATGCTAGACTATGCCTGAGTACGGTCGAGTGCGCTCAAATACGCTGGCTGGAGTATGCTGGAGTATGCCTGAGTACGGTCGAGTATGCTCGAGTATACTCCAGTACACTCGAATATGCTCCAGTACTCCCGAGTACCACTAACACAGCAATCTATGGCAGTTATCAGAAAGCATAGACCGTAGTATGCAATACCATAAAACAACAACATGTAGGATATATGATGATATATGTTATGCATTATTGTAGGGTGCACTACATATAAACTGTTTGTGATCTATAACGGAAATATGAAACTGTAGCAATATAGATACTATAATGTAACTTATCATATATATAGATAGACAGACAGATAGATAGATAGATAGATACCGTTTTTGATACAAAGTATGATACAGTACATAACATAAAGTACGTGACATATGATATGCTCTACTAAATATTAGTACTATTGTACAATATCTAAGTTCTAACATACCATATACATTCTCGAACAGTGCATATATTAATGTAACCAAGTACAATGTGACAGGATATAACAAAATACATAAAATACAGTATACTCATTGTTTAAAACGTTTGCTAGAAAGTTCTGTATATATATATAAGTATATGTGTTTGTTTGTAATATACAATATGCACTGTAGAAAATGTTATATAGCATTTAGTATGTAATTTATTATACATACGATACAACGTATATTATTATTTTCCACGCAATCTTTAATTTAATCTATGTTTTGCATAAAAATACATATAACTTATAAAGTATAGCATATAGTACGGTTGATATAAATCCTGCATTATCCATAATAAGTTACATAACATTACCATAACTCGCATGGTTTATGGTCCTTAAGGTAATGCAGGATTTATATCAGCAACAGTATGAACTACATGCTATAAACCATTTACTGTATGTATTATATAAATGAGCACATGTTGTATATACATGTATCAGTTACTTTGTATATGCCATAATATGTGGATAACATATTACATAATATTTACTCTCTGGTAAAGGTATCTACAATACAATAATATATATATATATATATAATTCGGTGTATGTACATATATACATATTTGTTGTAAGTTCCTATGAATCATTTACATTTTTTAATATGTAGTACAAAATAATGTGCCGGCCCTTTTAATCCCATCGGGGTATTTAATGCCTCTTTTTGGCTATTGATTCACGCCGGGACCAAACAAATGGTCGGCCTAATTTATGCGTTTTGTTTTGGCCGGATTTCTTTTTTGGTTTTGTTTTTCCCTTCTAGTCATGGTCAATCTTAAAGCAGCCACGACCTGAAAGCAGCCTCCCAATCCTGAAACCCTGGACCGCATTCCCGCGCATACCCACTCATACCCGGGGCCCGCAAGCATACTTTCTCGCACGCATACTCGCGCATACCCGCGCATGCTCCCGCATACCCGTGCATACTCGCTCATAGTCGTGCATACCCGCGTATACCCACACATACCCGCGCATACTCGCGCATACCCGGCGCTATCTAAGCACCGGCAGTCGCGCTTTCCCGTCACAGTGATAAGCTGTCCAGGTCGCCGCTGTTGGCGGCTGGTCAACAAGCTTGCGGGTGAAGCAGGCACCTGCAGCTTCCTTCCGCTTGCCAGTAGATTCTACTTCTAATGAGCAGGGGACAGGTATTCTGGAGCACAAGCCTTTTTTTGGCTCGTTTTCTCTTTCAATTGTCAAGTTTCATGATCCAGCGATCATGCGAGGGATATTGCAGTCAATCGGTACCCATGTCGTTCCCGGAGGCACCGCTTCGTTTCTTGCTGGCGCCACTCCGCCTGCAGCACACCCTAAGTGCGGTCCAGGCATGCAGAAGTGCAGGGTTTTGCTCGGAGCATACCCGTGTTTGCCTGGGCACAAAGCTCCTCAGATCCGGTGAAGATCGGGGAAGCTTTGTCGGCTTCAAGCAATCATTGACGTCCCGTTGCAGCCCTGTGCAGGATGTAGCTGCGGTGCTGGAGGTTGGAGCAGGCGGTCCAGAAAGACAAGGCAGGTGTTGCGAAATTCCTTTGGGAAGAAGGCTTGAAACAAGCCTGCTCACGAACCTTGTTCGAAGCTTCGGACCATCAGGACAGACAGAAGATGCGTTTCAACCGGAACCTGCGACGTCCAAAGAAGAGAAGGCGCTGAAGGCGCTCACTGGCACCAGTACGCCATACCGACGAAGCAAGGTTCTCCGGAGAAGGTTTTCAAACGGTCTAAGCTATTGCCGGTCATCAGACTTTTCGTTCTTCGTGCGTGCCGAGCTCCCAAGCTTCGTTTTGTAGCTAGAGGTGAGTTGAACTATGAAGTTGTGAAATCAGTGCACCAAGTATTGTCGTATGCCGGCGATGTCGCCTCTATAAGCGCACTCTTTAGTGTCTGTCACGAGGTGCATTCTAGCAGATCTTCTGCTGGGAACTCGGTTGCTTGCTCCATAACGAGCATGGTCGGCATTGGGATCCGAACAGAACAGTCGAGCAATGAGGAGACATGTGGTCATGTCGCCTGCGATGTTCTGACAACACTGCTAGCTTAGTATTGATACCCTAGGTTCTGCGGAGCCGAGCAGCTACGGATAAGTATGTCTGTGGAAAGCACACAAGATCTGCATTCGCGCTCCCCTGAACTGCTTCGAAGCTAAGCTGTTACACTTCTGCATCGTGAGCCAGGTCTCTGTGATGTTCTTGGAGCTCGACCTGGATGTGGCAGCTGCTCGATTTCATGCATTTTGTTCAGGGTTAATTAGGCACTAATTCCGTGAGAGGCGAGCGATTTTGATCGATTTTGTAGGGAAAGGTTGTAGGCATTTACACGAAACGGGCAGTACAGTAGCAGCTCTGCGCAGTTGAACAACGACCGCTACGCTTGAATGATTTCATTGCCTCCGCGCACTGAAATCATACGGCACGGCAGGCTAGACTTCTTGAACCTTTCTGGTGCCGGGCTGGAATGAGGCACCGGTGCTGCATTGGGAGGAGCATCTGGAAGAAGCTTTCATTCTGCGCCGGAGCCTGCAGATGAGACAGCACCGCACCACACTTGTGCATGGACATGTTCCCTGGCTTGCCGCATTGAAGTACATCCCCAGCGAGTTGCCGGAGTCGATTACCTTCTTGCTCACTAGGTGTAAGCAAGCACAAGTGCAAGTCCGGCAAGCATTTGATCTGACCAACCGGCACTGTACCTTGAGCTCCTTGCTTGAGGCTTTGGGCGCGTTCGTCTGCGGACCGTGGAGAACAACAGGGAGCTGGGTGCCCTGTAACCGTGTAGGATTGCTGGCCCGGCTCGTGCATTTTCGTCGGCGCAGCGCGGTATCGGTGCTGGTTGTGGAGCCGGATAAAAGAAGACATTCGCCAAGAGCTGTGTCAAGAGGCATGTGAATCTTCCTGTCCTGCGGCCGCCTGTGGACTGCGGAGTTTATGAGTCCCGAGGCCTGAGCTGCGCGTGCCTGAGCCTGCCGAGTTCCCTGTTGCTGCGGTGGGCTGTGCGATGGCGGCGCCGGCAGCATGGTGTCTTTTTGAGGAATTTTGCCTCTGCTGTTTCTGAGTCTCTGTGGTCTGACGTGGAAGTTTCCAAGCCTCAACTGCACGTTTCGGCAGGATGCTGGAGTCGTTCTCGGACACGGCGACGTCCTGACATTCGGAAAGGCCAGGCCTGGGCCTGTCGCCCAAGTGCAAACCGAACCAGGATAGGTGTATGCTTACAGGTTGTGTCGACACGCTACGTGCGGACCGTTGCATGGAAGCACGTTGAACACATGTTTGTGCACAGTCTAACGGGATCCACCTTCGAGGGCTTGTGCAAGGTTAAATGCAGCGGTTGACAGTTGCACAGCTTGCCTGCGCTGTGCGATGAACACTCCAGGCCAAGACTTCAACAAGCAGAGCCCATGAGTGCAAGCTGTAAGCTCTGGTGGACCCCTAAAGACAGCATGCATTGGAACCTGGGGTTTCAGTTTCACCACAGTATTCGGCCCATCCGGGTAATGCGTTCAGGACCCCCTCCAAATGTTAGATGGTATGCGCTGTGCTGGCTGGCAACTGATGTCAGATTGCAGTGGCGCTTTGCAGCAGCAAGAATGCCACCAAGGGTCGACGGGCAATCGTGAAAGATCCCGAAAGGTTACCCGAAAGCCCGAGCGCCACGGAATGTATTTGCAGGCCCCGACAGCCCTCGATCGGGCTGTCAATACATAGTCGGCCTTGGGAAACGCATTCATGGGGGGGTTGGCGGGGGAAGCCTGTTACAGATACGCATCGTAATTACATAATCGTGATCAGTGCAAAACCCACCAACAGCACCAACATGACCACCACGGCCTCTGCTTGGAGCAGGTCGCATTGCAGCTGCAGCGCTCGACGGAGGGTCACTACCAGCTCGCGGCAGGCATCGGAGGCCAGGAAAAACATGCATATGTCTGCACAAGTTCATCAGCTAGAGTCTATAGAGGAAAAGGCGATTATGAACCTTGGCTTCCCGTGTGTCTAGGCTCGTGGAAGCTGCAGGAAGCATCTGTAGAGCATCGTAGGTTGTCTAGGCTTCCAGCAGCAGGAAAACGGCTGATTTCCGATGTTGAACGCACCTGTCGACTCGAAGCGGCAGTGAAGATGAGGAAGAAGTTGGCTGTTCGGCTTTGCTGCGGCTTTCTGGCTTGCAGCTGCGAGGTATTGAAGGATCCCTTCACACTGAGCTGTCGCGGCGCGTGGCGAAGCTTTCCGAGGCACGTGCCTGAGGCTTGATGCAATGTTTCTACAAGCAGACAGTATCCCTCTCTCGTAAGAGGCGCTGCAGGCGCTGGTCACGGAAGCTTTGGAAGGCCCGGTCAAGTTGTTGCACGAGGTTCCACGAATCCTTCCATCCGTTTTCCATCTGATAATCAAGAAAGGCCGCAGGAAGCCTTGGCTGTCATGCTGTAAGGAGCAGTACACAGCCTCGGATTAGCATAATACCGTATACTGAGTCATGGCGAATCGGATGACTAGGAGTTGCAACTGCAAGGTCCCGAAACTGGAATACGGGTCCGCTGACATGCTTCAGCTGGCTTCTTCTTGTAGTCTGAAGTAATGCCTGTCTTCCAACTAGTGAAGCAGGACATATGACCCACTCCCTCTCCTGTGTTTGCACCAGTAGTTCGGCTCCAGGCCCAGGTCTGAACTTCTGCGTAGAATTTTTCGCTCCGTTTGAGCCGGCTCAGACCGCGCGGCCATCGAAGCTCTCCGCCGCCTTCGCGAGGCGTCCCAGCCCAGGAGCCACGTGACCGGCAGCATGCTCTAGACTTTAATAGGGTCTCTAGGAAGTTTAGGGTTTAGGGGTGTGCAATGGTGTGCAGCATGGCTCAATGAAGCGCATGAAACAACGAAGCCGAGCAACAAGATTGAGTCGAGTGCCCCGTCGAACATCAGATGATGTGTATGAATTCTGTGAGTCACTGGGTAGATGATTTGACTGGACTGGAAGCCAGGAGATCTCGCTTCTATTCCGCTTGGGAGAAGTTTGAGATGCTGGGACCCATGCAGGCGTGGCATGGCGTGGCACTGGGTTGTTGCATTTACACGCCGAATTCCGCTGCCCCGACATGACAGGTGGTATGGTGCATAGGTGGTTGTGACAAGAGCCTGCAGATTGCAATGTAGTCGCAGGAGAAGTCCGCGAACTGCAGCGGCGGCGACGTGGAAGAGGTTTGGGCGCGGCGACAATGCTACTCGCAGTCTCGGATTTGTACTTCGATCAGCGAGATGCGATGTCAAAATGTCCAGAGCACTATGCTCTGTAAGTGGTATGCTACTAGCACTGTGTTTATGCTAAGGCTCAGAGCCGTGGTGGCTTGCAAGTTTCCTTTACATCTGGGCCTGCGCTTGCTTGATCACTGTTGGTCTTCCGGTCAGGAGGACACAGGTGCGGTGCTATCTCCGATGACAGAAGAGGCAGCTGACCTTTGAGCGCAGTAGCCGTCGAGCCTGAGATTCCGTAGCGTTCGCTGTTTGAATGCATAAACTTGCAGGCTTCAGCTGAGGCAGTCTGGAGTGCAGTCTGTCACCAGCTGGACATGCGCTTCCTTGTCTCCTGATCAACAGGCTTTTTCAGGCTACGGCGTCAATGCCCCATGCGCCCCAGCCTTCGTCAGCACTGCTCCTTGCTCGCACAATCGGGCTGGACAGCACATGCAACTCGACGGTGCGATACGGTGCGATGGGCGAACCTTGCCATCCAGAGGCCGAACCCATTGGTACCATGCCAGCGCTGTACAGTTGAGGTGCTGCATCTGCAGAGCGCCTCGCTGCGCATCTTCGAACAGCGCCCGCGAGGCAGGGCTCACTTGCTTCGCGTCCCCCAAGAGTCATGCTGTGTAGCACCGAATAACTGTCAAGCCACAAGCGCTGGGCTTTCGGATATTTGTGGGAGCAGGGCCTTACCTGGGCCGTTCATGGGCGTCAGCAAGCTAGGCTTTGTCGCCAGTGCAAGCATGCACGTCAATGCTTTCGATCATTGCTGCCGCTGGTTAGGTACTCAGAGCCATGCAGTGGCACATGCTTCTCTAGAAGGCACCGGCGGGTTCAGGGCCCTGTAAAATGCACGTCCAGCATCAGGGAGCCTATTGTAGCACATCAGCACTCGGGGCATGTGCGTTGCCAGCTTGTGCATTCGAACTTGGATGGGATGAAGTGTAGCCCGGAGCCCCACTACTCGTGCTGAAGAGCGGATGCTCTGCCTCGCGAAAGTCGGAGGTAATTTGGCGGGTTTGTGAGCGGAAGGGTTTCGGGCCTTTCTTGTCTGTGTGGAAGAAGAGACAGATGTAAAGCGAGAGAGAGGTAGACACAGCAATCAGACAGACTCTATTAGTGACACTAGAAGTACAGCCTCACGTGCAATAGCGCAAGAGGTGAGGCACACCGGTTGGGCACCTTTGCCCACAAGCTTCGCCAGTGATACTCTCCTGCGCAGTCTTACAGCATTGGCCCAGCTCCTCGAAAGAAGCAGACAACGGGAGAGACAGCACTGTATGTTTCTGTATGGTGAGCGAAGAAACGAGTTGATTTTGCTCAGCAGTTCCTATAGCTTTTTCATGCTTTTTCGCCTTTCCCACTGCAACCCTCCGCAGGTGTCCACTTCCGCGTCCAGCTTTTCCGCGAGCGCCAAGCGCCAAGTAGCAACGGTCTCGCAGCGAGCCATCATGTCTGTACACAGTGCATGTTCGTTCGGATTAGCTTGATCATGGTTGCTCAAGAGGGCAGTACCCGGACCAAGTTGATCCCTTTCGAGGTGCGGCTGCAAGCTTGCTATTCACCTCGCCGCTTGGCCGCTACAACACTGCCACCGGTAAGAAGAAGGTTCTTTCAGTGAACTGGACCGCTCTTTCAACTGGAACGCTGTTTCAGTGAACTGGCCACTGGCTGAGGGATTGGGGGTCTGGTCACGGTTGAGTTGGGTGAGGTTGCATTGGATTGGTAATCGGTAGTTGGCTGGCTTATGCTGGGTGGAGTCGGGTCTGCATAGGTCACTGTCGGGTTTCAGTCAGGTCAGGGTTAAGTTGGTTTGGGTTGGGGTGGGTTGGATAAGGTTGGGTTAGGTTAGGTCAGGTCAGGTTGGGTCAGGTTGCGTTAGGTCAGGTTAGGTTGGGGTAGGCTAGGTCAGGTTAGGTTACAAGAGCTGGGGCGGGTTAGTTGGTCAGGTGAGATGACGGTAGGTTGGGGTAGGTGAGGTTGGGCAGGCTCGGCCAGGTTAGGAAAAGCTGTGGGTCATGTCAGGTTAGGTTAGGGTAGGTTGTGGTCAGGGATGGGGTCGATTAGGTTGGGTTAGGCTAGGTTAGCTGGGTAAGTTGGGGTTGGTTAGGTTGTGTTAGGGTAGGTTGGGGTAGGTTAGGTTGGGTTGCCTTGAGGCAAGTTGGGGTGGATTGGGTAGTTTAAGTCAGATAGGTCAGGCTGGGTTGGTGTAGGTTTGGATCAGGTTGGGAGGTTTGGTTAGGTTGGGTCAGGTAAGGTCAGGTTGCATTGCTCGTAGAGTAGGTTAGTGGGTCAGGTGAGATGAGGTTAGGTGAGGGTAGGTTCGCTGCTAGGGTAGGTCAGGTTGCTTGGCCAGATTAGATTAGGCCGTTAGGGTAGGTTGAGGTTGGTTAGGTTGGGTGAGGTTACGTTGGGCTAGGTTAGGGGAGGTTGGGGTAAATTAGATCAGGATGGGCCAGGTTCGGATAGTTGGGTTAGTTTGGGTGGATAGGCTCGTTAATTGGTCAGGTTAGGTTAGGCTAGGTGAGGGTAGGTCGGGGTAGGTCAGGTTGGGTCAGGTTAAGCTGGGAAGGTTGGATAGGTTGGGTTAGGTTGGGGTGGTTAGAGGGTCAGGTTAGATGTGGTTAGGCTCTAGGGTCGGTGGAGTCAGGTTGGGCTGTTGGGTCAAGTTGGGTTAGGTGTCGTCATAGGTTCTGTTGGGTTGGGTTAGGTCCGGTTAGGGTCGGGTGGCTTAGGTCAGGTTGGGTGAGGCTTGGGGTAGGTTGGGTTACAAAAGGTCAGGTTAGGAAAGTTTGGGATGGGTTGGCTTAGTTTAGGTGTTGGGGTGTTTGGCTAGGTTAGGGTAGGTTGGGGTCGGTCAGGTTGGGTCAGGTTATAGGTTAGGCTTGGAAAGGGAAGCTGGGTAGGTTGGGTTGGGAAGAGTTAGATTCGGTTATGTGAGGGTCGGGTAGCTTAGGTCAGGTTGGGTGAGGTTACGTGAGGTGAGGTTGGGGTAGGTTGGGTTAGGGTAGGTCAGGGTAAGCTGGGTCAGGTTAGATTAGGTTTGGTTAGGTTGGGTTGGGACAGGATAGGTTGGGGTAGGAGGTTACATGGGTAGGTTGGGGTAGGTTAGGTTGGGTTGGGGGGTGGCCCGCGAACTGTCAACTGGGACCCGGTTCCTGAAATAGGGGGGGGTCAGTTCACTGAAATAGCGTTTTCAGTTCACCGAGACGGGTTCACTGAATATACTCTCGTCCGCCACCGATATGTAAAATGATCCGTCTGGAGTCGCTTCTCTCGGCTATCGTGCGCCTGCAGCTGGCAGACATGGCTGCACTGGAGACTCGAAGCCAAATGCTGCAAATCGGTAAAGTTCGTTTCAGAAATCATGGCCACAAGGCCAGGATGCTGCATGATGCTGCCGTGCCAACTGAGTCAACTGAGATGTTCCCAGTGTTGCTGGTAGCTTGTGTACAGTTTGATGCTGATTTTATGTTGCAAGGTTTGCAAATTCTGCATTTTTGCTCGTTCTTATGCTTGTACGGTCTTGTACGTGTAGGAAGATGTAGCCAGATCCGGCAGCTCTCCTTCGCAAGGGATGTCGAGTAGAGCCCGTTGCCTCAAATTTCCAGCGAGTCGGAAGGTGGAGAGCACTTCTCACGTTGTCCTTGGCGCCTTGGCCAGGCTCCAGCTCCAGGCGGCCAGCCTGACACTCCAGTCCCGGCGGCCACCTGGTCGCTTTGGCCCTTCGAAGATCTGACCTGTCAAGGCTTTTTTGGCGCTTGTGACTTTGCCTCGAGTCGCCGAGGCTGCTTACTCCAAGGGCTACAGGTGGAGTGCTGCCAGCGCCCTGGTGAAGCGTGAGTTGCCAGTATAGCCAGTACAGACCAGGCACCGGTGTTGGATCCAGTCCCTTACAAACATCAGATGCATGACGCCATCCAGCTGAGGCTCTCCTCACACCGCAAGAGCTCAAGTCACCGGTCCTCCACAGCTATCTAGTTGATGACAGTGTAGGTTCGACGACTTCCTGGCCTGTGGAGTTGCAACCCCGATAAAAACTGTGAAGTCGACAGTCATGCCTCGGTTGAGCTGAGTGGCGTCCCATACAGGAGCCACAGACAAACATATTGAATCTATCGTCTAGAGTCCAGATGCGTCTACGTAATTAGAGGAAGACAGGCGCGCAACGCTGTGTACCTTGTAGATCGCAGAACAAGACTGTGACTGTTGTCGGTTGCAGCTAGCAGATCACACCGAACAGGAGCGACACATCCAACGCTTGCTGAGGCTCGACAGTTCTGCCTTGGTGCCGCTCCGGGCAGAAGGGTGTGAGCCACTATTCGGTGTCTGGGCAGCAAAGTGTCTTGTCGTGTCGCAGACCACGCTGGCAACCAGATTCGCTGTGACTCAGGGGTGAAGTTGCAGCAGCTGGCAGTGCTTTACCGCCAGCGCGACAGTGTGCCCTGCTCGGACACTCCTCGCTACGTAGGATTTTGCATCAGCTTTGCCCGCACGCCCGGCCTTGAGGATGCGCTCTTGCAGCTCCTGCGCTCGGTGTTGAGACCGCTGCAGGACCTCCGCAAATGCAGCGTCTCTATTCTGTTGAAAGTGGTAGGCAGTGGAGGGCAGTGGTAGGCAGCCAGCCGTCCAGCAGTCAACGGTGAGTCCTCGCCTTCTCTTCCCATCGTCTGCGAATTTCTAGATCGGCATTTCAAGAAGTCGGTCGAAGCACTGCTGTGAAGCAGTGGAGTGCATGTGAAGGCCGCTGAAGGTGCCGGCAGTTCCCAGAGGCCATGTCAATTTGCCTGTCCTGCCATTCCTTGGTTGGGATTTGTGAATGATTGGTGCCGACAGCTACAGATCGGCTCGCCCAAGGAAGGCAATCATACGCCTCTAACGACAACCCCGGCCTTGCATGTGAGTTCGATAAAATGGAAATGAAGCAGGAGCCGCAAGGCTTCTCCACTTGTTTATTCATGTATTCATCCGGCTTAAGCCACGAAACTTATAACTTATAAGTGCTTTCAGAGACTTTTTCCGGCCGTTGGCTTCCGTGCTGTCATGTCAGGCCTTCAGTATCATCCCTCGACCAGCAACAGGCACGCACCGTGGCAAAGTTCAGACTTGAGAGTCGCAAAGATTTTCCGCTCTGCAGAGGTGGCCGAGACTTTCGGCCTTGAAGCCAAGTGGAAATGTGGCTTGTCGCAAGCTCGCGGAGATTTTGTGCACGACTCGAGTGTCGTGGGGTCATGGGGACATCAACGGACATCATGGCGTGGCTCTCTAGTTCAGTCGAGTCGCAAGTGGAGCAAACTTTGCAGGTCCATTGTTTCGATGCTGGATTGGCGCGCCCAAGGCTTTCAAGTGATTGCACACAGAGCGAGCACGGTAGCTCATAGCAGCGCTGCGCCGAACCGCTGTGCCACTGCGCTGCTTTGCGCTATGTCTCAGCATTTCTCTCGCAGGTCTTTCTTCCCACGGACCCGACGCTTCGGCGCCGGCGCTCCCTGGGAGAGGCTCCGCACGGGATACACGGGTCCCGTGTCTCTGGTGCGTGGCTCCTTCACCTAAACATGTTCATGAGCAGTCGACTTGAGGAAGCACATTTTCTCATTCCACAGTTTCCACGCACAGTATTTTTGCACCTGTTCGAAAGCGTTATGGTGCGACCGCAGAGACCTAGTTACTCGTCCAGTGCAACTTCACCTCGGATGACCTGGTGTTGGCTGGAGTGCACAAACCCAACACTGCTACGGTCGACTTGTTGCAGTTACTACAGGCTGTGTGAGGTGGGTGGTAAGGCCACAGAGATGTGAAATAGCGTGTCAGTTCTGGGTTGGGAGCGGGGAGCCCATGCAAGGCACATGGAATTCATGGAATCACATGGACATTGTTCGTCCCTCCCCCCCCCCCCCCCCCCCNNGGCACATGGACAGTGTTCTGCGAATGCCACGTCTTGCCTGCGTCACTAGTGCACATAAGTGCACATGGCCCGGAGGCACGCTGCGGTCATCTTGAGGAGCAGAATGGCGTTGTCGACTTCAAAGCCATGCCTGGCGAGGAGCGGGGCATCGCGGGGCGGCATGGGGCGGCTTGAAGACGGCCGAAAATGCCTCAGTCACCCAGGAGTTCATCGTCATCGACTTTGGACACGTCAACCTTCAGCGCACCACTCAAAGCCTCGAGACGCTGGACTTCGGACATGTTTCGTCCTGCTATGTCGTGCTTCGCCTTCACAGACTCTAGGCACCATTCTTACAAAAGGCAGGTGCATGATACGTGCAGTGCCTAGGTTCATGAGTGTACATCGCAGAGTTTTTGACATTGATGCACCAGTAAAGTGCTCAGTCCAGAGATGCAGCAACGTAACTGCAACATGACATGAAACTCCAGGACTTGAAGCTGTGCGAGGCGAGATGGACGCAATACATGAGCGCTTGTTCGTTGGAGAGCGGGATGTGCCGGGCTACAGGGATCCTGCCAGGTGGACCTTCGTATGGCGGGCAAAACCGGCAAACTTACCTCTGTCCTGCAGCTGCCGGAGACGAAGGTGCCAGGAAAGCAAGCAGTAGCAAAAGCCGCGTGCGCGAATCGGGCAGGCTTCAAAGGGCGCCACCCCCACGACGATCCGCGTGGATGCCACACTACGCCAGGGCCGAGAGGGGACCCGCTTCGAGGCTTGGGGTTGCGCGAAGCACCGTATCTTTGCAATGTGCCGGCTGATCCGGCTGTCGTTCCTGCAGGCTTCGCTGCAACCATCCGGTGGTGAGCAACTGCAGATAGTTCTTGGCCGCAGTGACCTCACACGCATGCGCCGCAGATGCAATTTTGTCAGATAGCCGCTTCGACTGTGTGTTTTCTGTCTATCTGCGACGGGTTGCCGGGAAACACAACTCCTGCAAGCGGAAGCAAGAAGAAATAGCCCAAAACTCCACGCCCTGTCACGTCGTATCTAAGCCTGGATGTGTTGGCGGAGAACCGCAGCTATGCCAGCTTTGTCGAGGAGGCGACGGAGGCGATAACACTTCGGAGCACTTTATTTCCTCAACGCATGATGTTGGAGTAGATGTGGGATGTTCGGGCGGGGGTGGGGGAGAACGTTGAATGAAGCTCAATGGGTTATTGAGATGTATTAAGCGAGATTGCAGGATATGGACCGGTAGTATTCTGAGGGTGTCCGTTTCGACATACGGGTACCATGAATGGCATGTTGTGCATGGGCTGTGAGAAGTCTGACAGTAAGCAACGCCACGCAGCCACAGGGACTTGTTGTGGACTTCCTGCAGAGACTTTTCCCTTCGGGCCGCTGCAGGTGGATGACTCTGCACAGGAGGAGTCCGAGGCGCCTGATTGGCAGAGCTGTAGTTGCCGTGGCCCTCAATTCAGTGCATGGTTCTTGCTGTGCCTTGTTTCGCTTCTGGAGAACCCCTTCCATCCTGGCCCTCAGAATCTCTCTGAGTACATACTAGCAGTACTGCATTCACATTCACGGACAGTTTGCCAGGCCAGCTCCTTCGTCTCAGCCCGTGAGACGCACAGTGCCAGGATATGGGGCCTTGGGGACTTCGCTCAGAAACCTCAAGCAGAGGCTCTGAGCCCAAAGACAGCAGACGATTCGGCGACACTGAAAGCCTTGAGGGCCCGGCTACAATCAGAGATGGCAATATGGCATCCGGTCTGCTCTTTTCTTTCATATCTTTAGATAGACGGTTGAATGGAGTTGACACGTCTCCTTCTAAGAGTCTCGTGCACATCAATGCTGACATTCTCAATGCCTGTGCCACTGCCGGGTTCATGCACGCCTTCCAGGACACGCAGCCTTGAGGCAGTACCTTCGCCTGCGCCTGTGCAGGCAAGCGATTAGGCTCTAGATTAGACCTCCGGCACTACGGACATCCATGGAGCTTCAGCCCTTTCCGCCGAAGGCCTCCGTGCGGGCACGTACGCTGGCCACGCTGCGTTCTGCAAGCCAGCTTCCGGACTGCGAGATGCTGGTGACACGTTTTCTTACCTGTTCCGAGGGGGATCAACCTTCGTTTTTCTGCTGCTAGGACTTGCAGCCAAAGAAGTGGCCAAGCGGAGAAACAAGCACCATGCCCAGAAGTTGCTTTTAGACTTGGAGGTTCAGAAATGCTCGGGATATTGCGAGACTAATCGAATTCGCCCTGTGGAAGTACGAGCTTTCAGGCAAGAAAACATGTTTCCGCTGTTGGCTGTACAGGACCGAGGCCTTGCAATGTTGTCCGTCTGACACCGCGGGGGGCCGATTCAGAATCACGATTCAGGTTCGAGGGTCAAATTCATGTGAGAATCATGAAAGCATGCCTTTGTTCACCAAGCTATGCCAACAGCGCTATGCCAACAGCAATTCACCAAGAACATCGTGGCACGTGCCATCACCGAATAAGGCGAGATCAGAGGTCAGAACAAATGCCTTGCCATGCAGCGTGTACTCCCACATCCACACGCGGGTTTTATGCATTTTTCCATGTGCAAACTCACGTCCACGTTCACTGGCACTGCCCGGCTCAGGTCAAGACTCAGCCGGGCAGCCCTTCACATTACAGCGGCTCTGCTTTGACGATGTTTGGTGGAAGAGTGAAATCATGCCGTGGAATTGCGTTGAAAGGTGAAGGCCAGTCAGCAGCGAGTCCCACAACTGGCAAAACTACCTACCCGTCAGGTGGTCAAATCCGGCGGTGCTGCTCATTCGAGCGACGTGTCAGCATGCTACTTGTAGGATTCCTCCAGAGCCAAACGGACCATATTGATACGCATAGGCTGCAAAAGCAGCTGCAAACTTTCGTCAGGCTAGAAAATCATAAAACCCAAGCACTAGTAATAGTTCACACGTCTGCCTGCCTTGAAGCCTCCAGGTCCAATTCACTGAATCTGCCCCGGTGGCTGCACTTGCGCTCCAAGGGACTCTCCGTTGGCAACTTGAGAAGCTACCGCCTGGTCTAGAGTCCAGAGTTGTCCTAGCAGCACTCACCTGAGGGAGCAGCTCGTCTGACTTGCACCACCACCACCACCACCGCCCCCACCGCCCCCTCTGCCTCCGCCACCACCGCCACCAGCACCACCGCCACCGCCACCGCCACCACCACCGCCACCGCCACCGGCACCAGCACCAGCACCGCCAGCAGCACCAGCAGCACCAGCAGCACCAGCAGCACCACCAGCACCAGCAGCAGCAGCAGCAGCAGCAGCAGCACCAGCACCAGCACCGGCACCGGCACCGGCACCGGCACCGGCACCGGCACCGGCACCACCGGCACCAGCACCAGCACCAGCGCCGGCACCACCACCAGCACCACCACCGGCACCACCACCGACACCACCGGCACCACCACCAGCACCACCACAACCACGCTACTTGTACTGATTGTACTGCTACTGCCACTACGACGACGTCGCCGACGACGCCGACGACGGCACAAACCTATTAGGTAGGTTGCCATGCATTGAGCTTTTTGTTTGCTTGTTAAGCGTCAAACATAAGGAGTTGCATCTTTGCGAAGCTGGATCCCGATCTCCAGCTAGAGGCAGAGATTTATTTGATCGCTTCTGACACTCCAGCGACGTCGTCTAGGGACAAATCACCGCTGTGCGTTGTGCCGCAGCGAGAGGCACGTGTCGAAGGTTTTCATGCTGACACTGTCAACACTTGGACCTAGAAAGAGTCCCACCATCCATGCGCTTCATTGAAGGTTTCTTGCCGGTCAGTGGACATCGAGGAACGGCAGCTGTCTGTAGGTTTGGAAGGAAGGCTGGGATTCAGGCTCGAACGCTTGCTCTAAAGAATATACTTGCCAAGTACAGCCCTCCCGGCAGAAAACATTACTTGCGAAAACGTGCAGAGACTCATGACACATACACGTCGTCGCTTGTATCTGGTACGTACTCTAGCTCGCAGGTTACGACAGATCCAGCCGCAAATCCTGCCAGGATCTGCGTTTACGGTCACAGAACGCAGACAAATCAGTCGCTCTGATGCAAGCAGATGAAGCAAGAAGACGATTGGAGTCGATGGTTTGGACATGCGTTGGGTGCAGTGGCTATACTGAGAAGGGTGCAGCATCGGAAGTCTGGTCAAGTAGGTTCGGCAGGAGCAAGCGAGGGCCACAGACGAGTGAGAACAAATTGTACCCGAGCTTCGGCAGAGTTCAAATCAATGTGGGCATTTCTGATTTCTGGTAGTTGACGTTCTGCACAGGTACTCTGCGGAAGCTCTTTCGTCCTTGCCTGGCGCAGTGAGGCGGCATGGGGAGATAAAGTTTATGCTTTATTGGGTTGGCCTTTGCAGCCTTCACGAAAACCTTGAATTTCGCGGCGCTTCGTGAAGTGAGTTCGCCGGCACGAGCTTAAATCCGACGACGCTTCCCATAGCGCAGTCCCACGAGTCGAGTCAGAAGTTAGATTGACATGTTCGCACTGGTGTTAAGCCACTTGTGCGAGGCAGGCCAGCGGTCGGCACTGTCGATCCGGCTGAACCGAGCCACGTTACAGGCCAGGCCGAAGGTTTGCAGCGCTGTCGCTCTCGTCAGCGGCTTGTGAGATCTTGCGAGAGGTGCTGCCGATGCTGTTTGCGGACCTCGTCCCCTGGTCTGGAAGTTGGCAGAGCAGACAGCAGGGGCTATGCAGGGCTTCTAACCGGCTGAGGCCACCTGGGGCATTTCGGCTTGGCGACTTTGCGCTTGGGCCCAGTGCCCTTGCGAACCCGAGCAGAGGCCAGCGAACTCCGTACGAAGCGCTTGCATTGTATGGAGGGAAAGAGCCCCGAACCATCTTGAACTCGTTTTTTAGGCTGCCCTGGGACGCTTCCGAGCTGCGCCCGCTGGGCGTGGCCAGTCTGCTGATCGAGGTCGAGCAAAACCCACCTGCGAGTCTGCATGTGCATTGCATACTTACGATCTTACAGTCAAGGGCGGCTGGCAACTGCAGGTCGAGCTGCAATCTGCATCGTTTCGCTTGCCGACAGCTTGGGCAGCGCAGCAGGCAGCTGACTGCTGAGCTTCGACACTGTGAGAGTCCGAGAGAGTCCAAAGGAGCAACAGAATCTCCATGGCCGTGTAGGAAATCTGCGACTGGTCTTCACTTCAGTCTGCAGCTTCGAAGGACTACTTTGAGTTCTGCGGGAGCCCGCGGGAGAACGGCGCCGTCTTCTCGGCATCGCTGCTCAGCTGTGAGGCAGTCCACTGGTCCAAGTTTTCAGCTCCTGCATCGGTAGCTTTGCAAGGCTTCTGTTTGGATATCAGACAAAGCTCTGCCACACGTGCCGCGTTTCTGTACAGGCCGGCCTGGAGTTGACTCGCATCGCCTTGGAGAGCTGCAAAGTACAGCGTTGCGATGCACAAGTGCCGAGTGCAGTGCTCCGTGGCTTCGACACGCGAGATGCCATCTATTGGAGACGCGTATTTCCGCCGATGGGTTGGTCCTGTTCGCATCGTTTCCCTTCTTGTCGTCGTCCCAGGCTGTGCAGTGACTTCGGCCTTTCTGCAGCCGGTCGAACCTGGAATTTGGCGCCAAGAAGAAGCGGGCTGATCCTGAGGCACGATGGTCGCACCGCACTTTTCTCACGGACGAACATCTTGGCATCTTTTCCTTTCTGCTGCAAACATGGCAACGAGTAGTGGAGCTTCTGTGCGTCAGAATATCAGGCCCGTCGAACTGCAACCTTTCGACCTTCGCATTTCTACGCAGGACATCGGCACGGAGCCGAGTCCAGAATAGCAGGTACCGAGCTGCGACACCATCCTCCCAGGTGCCCTCCTTGCAGCTGCCAGCTCGCTAGCACGTGCCGAAGCACCCAGCGCAGAGCCCATCGAGGCCGAGGGATTTCGTGAGACGGTCGAGCGATGTCTAAAGCGTCTTTAGGTCTTGCCTTTGGTGGCGGTTTCAATTTCAGGAGCTGCTTCTCCGTGACCCTCATGCACCAACGGCCCCCTCGTCTTGGTGTCCGGGGCCCAGCGGGGCCTTGGCTTGAGCTCACCCGCTCTGCCCTGAAAGCTTCCCGAGCTTGGTGACCCTGCAGGCTTGGAGTTGGACGGCATGGTCGGGAGAGGAGAAGGATTTCGCACGCGACTTGACACTACATGCACGACCGGAGGAGTGCCACAGTGTGACGATGTGGATTGATGTGAGTGCATTGAGGAAGCAGGTCATCGACTTGCAAATCCTGGATGGTCGCTGGCCTCGAATGGAGTTGCCACGAATTCGTTCTGTTCAGATGACTGCTTTATCTGCAAAGCCAGGAATTTGACACAAGGCTGCATGGTGCTCTCATGTTTGGCGTCCTGAAAGCGCAGCTCCAAGATCGCCAGCCGGGCAAGCTTCTCGATGTCCGGATCGGCCTGTCATCGATTCACACGGAGTCTTGGCTTTTCGTCTTCGATGCTGTTCGCTGAAGCTAAAGCATGAAAGCTCTAGTGTCATTCCAGTGTAGCCGCCCGCCTGACGTGTAGCATGCAACTCAGGAGATTCGGACTGCAACTGGTCAAGCCTCAAGCCTGCTTCTCCGTGCCATGGCATTGACACAGGACATGTGTCAGGTCAGATTGTGCTCTGAGGACGTTCTGGGCTTTTGCAGAAGTTTGGATAGGCGTGCCTGCTGTAAGCACCGTCCCTGCCTGGCAGGCACCCAGATGCTCGAGTTGGAGGCTGTTGGGGCATTAGCATGTGATGCCTGCTATTGCATGCTATTCAGGTGGAGTCCTACAATCGCAACCTTCGCGTCATGGAGCCAGTGGTGCTTCCGATCAGTGGCTTGGTGCAGAGCATCTAGGCCGGCATGATGCACAGCTCTTAGCTTTCAACTCAGGATTGGACGCCGAATACGAAGTACTTCAGGGCACATCCTCCTTCCGTGTGAGCTCCAGGCGGTGGGATTTGGAATGCAGTGTGCGAGGTATTGGAGCGCAAACCAAGCGGCAGTGTTTTGGATCGGCCCTTGTTCAACAGCTTATTGTGCGGTGCATCAAGAAGTGATACTCAAGTTTGGCTTGCAGAAGATCCGCGGCCATGGCATGCCAATGTGATGCATTCCGCGACGAGCTAAGATTGCTACTCGTTGGTCCCAGCCACGGCAGGGAGAAGTTGCATTTGGTGATCACTCCGATCTTTATTCGCTTGGTGATGTCACTTGGCGCGAACCACCAATGTTTGGTCACGGCATAGTCCAGCTACGCCATGAGGCGATGGAGTTTTCCACTTGAGGAGTCTAAGGGTAAAGGCGCGAAAGGTTTGTGGTGCAGGGTTGTTTGGAATTGAAGTCCAAGGCAGCTTCAGGATGAGCTTGCCGCAGATGTACCGACGGCGCAGCGGCAGTCAGCCACACGTTGCAAGTTGGTCCAGGCAGAGTCTGCCTTTGATTTCGTTCGTGCTTGCACGTGACAATCGGGGCAGCGAGATTTCCTGAAACCACAGCACATACTGCAAGATGTCCCTCCCTGCATGTGTCCCATCTGAGGCATACTTGCCGCTGCTCAGATGAACAATAGAGACGGGCAGAGTCAGAGGGGACGGTCTTTCATTGCCTTTCATGTTCAAGACTGTTTAGCTGCATCGTAACACAGGCCAAGGCTCTCCGAGGATTGTCCTCCAACTACCTCCAACTTATGCGAAGATTGGCGGCCTTAAAGACGGACATGTCATGTGACATCATGTGACCGGCCAGAGTGCAGCCACATGACACACCTGATGCTGCTAGTTCGGCCATTCCACCGCTTTGCCCAAGCATGTTCACACCGGGTTGTGAAGCTTGTACATGGCTTGATAGTTGTGAGTTCATATCTGCCTGCATGTATGCGTGTAGATGCGGGGAAGACCCAAAGCAAGGACTGAGCCATGACTATTGAAATCCTGCGTGTAGATGGGGGGAGAGCCCAAAGCCACGACTTAGCCATGACTTAAGCGCTTGCCTGTAGGTGCATTGTCGCTCTTGAAGATCTCCAGGTCTTTGAAGACCTTAAAGGTTTTCGAATCCGCAACGTACTGAGGCTGATTACAGGATTGAACCTGACTGGCACCGCCTGCGAGGCGCGGGTCCTGCAAAGCGCCCTGTGCGCCCTGCGTCTGAGTGCCTGACGAGGTCGCAGCAGGATGTACATGCATCAAACTTCCAGCAGCCAAGGAGGCACATTGACAGTGACAGCAACACTACGGGTCTCGTCGTCTGCACTCGTCCCCCGCTAAGCTAACATCTGCCGTTATCTGCTAGGTGCCGCTCGATGCACTCCTCTACAAGGACCTTTGCCGCACATGTTTCTTCACATTTGTCCGCGTTTGACGTCTGGGCCCCTGGGCAGGACAGCGCGGAGCTGCGAAGCAGCGAGGGAGACCCGGCACTTCCGCTGAGGCGGGGCCCGGCCCGGCCCTGGCTGCTTGCCGAAGCTGTTCCGAGCGAATTTCCGGCTAAAGCTTAGCTTCCAGGGACTGCAGTGATGTGAAAAAGCCCATTTTATAGCAAGTCGAATTCGTCTGTTGTTGGGTCTCCGCAGCTGCCTTGCGGGCGAGGCTTCATCTAAGCCGGCGCCTGAACGCTCCCTTCATGGCAGAGCCCCGCCTTCCAGCTGCAGAGGATTCACTTTCTGGGTGCTTAGTTATAGTTGAAAGCAAGACTGCAAGACTGCAACATACATAATATAGGTCCACTCATGTCTGAATATTTTTTGCTGTGAGCCTGTATCATTAACTGAATACTGGAAGCACGGGGGACTTTATCGATTCATCAAGCCGCGTATAAAGCCAGAACTCATTATGAGTCAAAGGCTCCTGGCAGTGCGGCGAGTCGGAGCTCATCGCGCAGCTGGGCCAGAGCCACTTGACTACCTTGAAAATGCTCGGGTGAAAGCATTGCATCAGATTTTCGAGCGGCGCTCTACTGAATCGAAGCCAAAGCCTTCAAATTCAATGGCAAAGACACTGGCGGTCTCACCACGTCCCTGCGGTCAGAATCCCTTTGCCAAGACCCCGCTGCATCCATGGGCCAGCGTCTCCTCGTCACTTCTAGGCAGGCAGAGACAGACGACGGAGACGTTTCTGGCTGTGCTCTTGTCCTGCTCACTGCGTGGATCCATGTGCAGGGTTTGCTTCGCGAACTTGACGGATGTGACACTTCAATGGCGCTTGCTTAGGCTCGCACGAGTGCAGGGCATCAAAAGCTGTGCGAAAGTTGTTCCTGTGCCTCGCACCTCCGACCGAGCATGGCCGACCCAAAAAAGCCAGCGAATTGACTTGAGAGGCCAGGATCGTACAGCAGATTGTCGGACCATGCACCCGAGAATGGCGAGGTCATGGAGGCGCTTAGAGATATGAATACTAATTATTAGCAGATTCTGTCGTCCCCAGCTCCCCTTGCAGATAAGTCGACAGTTTCATGATATGTTTCATAATTGTAAAACGCTTCGCGTAGTCCGCATCTGCCCGGCCGCAAGTGAAGAGGGCCGATAGAGTTTTCAGCAGCGACGAGATTGGGCCCACTGCATGGGCACAGATCGAATAAAAAAACCTGTCGATCCTTTGTCCTACGCCTGCGATGTGTACGAAGAGCGCAAACGCACACACCTGCAAACTGCGACCCTCTGCCGGCAGCAGGGTCTTCAATTCAATCCCGGAATCAATCCCCCTCATAGCCGACGACGTCAGTGGAGGGGCCGCGAGGAACTGAAGGCACGGAGACAGCTTGGAAACCAACATTCGCCATTGCTCGCCAACCGCACGGACGCTTCTGCGGCCACTGAGCGGCTCCTTCAGTGCCTCATTGCCCCTTTCAACGGGAGAATGCTGGCGCCATCTGTTCACGCCTCTCTGCCGAACCCGTGAGCTCGTTTCGGACACAGTGTGGTACCTGACCGCTAACGTCTTATCGCTTTCGGGCTGCTGTGTGGGTTTGCCTTGAACTCTGCCATCCTCGCCACGCGGGCTGCTTCTGGGGCACGTCGCGCCTGGGTCGGGGAGCTCAGAGGCGACTGCAGCCCGTGAGATGCAGGCCTGCCTCCTGGTGCCTCGCTGGCTGTGCCCTGCCCCTTTTGAACAAGCGTAGCCGCTCTAAGAGGCCCACCGGCTCCGCATTGCGGACTTGGTAGCTTGGGCGTTTGGGAAGGGGGGCCAGAAGCGTTCATCCCTGCCCCACCCTGGTTGTAGTCCAGCTTCTGTTTCTGGGTGCAAGGTTTTTCTCCCTCACGTGGTTTTTCCTGGCATCCATGTGATTGTATAGACGGACACCTTGAACTTGTTCTACATTATCTACATTTTCAACCGCAGAGTTTTTGTCTCCGAAGTCGTAGCTTTGCTAGATGAGTAGAGCGACATGAGATTTCACCATCGAGCCTTGGGGCCGTTCAATGGTTTCACAGACTGGGGTGGGGTCACCGGGGTGGGGATTAAGAGGAAGGGAGACAGGAGGTTAACCTCTGACCGCTTGGGCCGGGCCGAGGCGAATGTAGATAGCGGGGAGGCTGTTGCATGGCTTTGGAAGTGGAAGGTCCCGCAGCCGCTGCCGGTGGATGCCTCTTGCCTGGGCTTTCCTGAGGGTGCGGGCGCGAAGCCAGGCCGACGAGCAAGTACCACTCCGACGATGCAGGAGTGCTTCGCCTGCTCGCCTGCTTGAAAGGCGACGGAGACGGTGACTGCCTCGCGGCAAGGCGGCGACCTGAGGAGCACATCGGAGCACGAATCATCAAACAATCATGAGCTTGCACGAACTGTCAGAAGCGAGATCCGCGACCGAAGTTTTGGAAGGCAAGCAGTGTCGCTGCCGCAGAGCGCGTTGGCTGGATCGCCTTCGGGCTCCATGCCACTTGGCCGCGATCGGAAGAGCGGCGATCTGCGGTGCTGCGCTGCGGTGCTCTTGCCAGGCCCTTGGCTCTTCTGCAGGTTCGGCCAGCGAGCCCAGCAGGCGTCACAGACTGGGCTCACACGGCAGAGGAGATCACGCGAGTCATGGCTAATCATGATGGCTGTGGGCCTGAGCTCACAAACCGAGGGTTGAAAGCATTCTAAAATTCCCCTACTGCGTCGCATGCACTGCAGAGACGCCAGGGGCTCTGCCCGCAGAGACGTTCACATGGAGCGAGCCGGTTCCTGTCTTCTTGCGCAGCTTCTCGTCCTGTGCATTGATCTAAACGTTCAAATTGTAATGATTAGTTGTAGAAGCCTGATGAGCATGCTGTTCATGCCAAAATGGGTTCGAAACAGCTCAGATGTCAAAGCAATTCAGACGTCAAGCAAGTTCCTCTTACATAGTTCAGCTGAGCCCTAAATCAAGCGCACGTTGTTATAACTGACCCATAAGTGTTAGGAGGAAGCGAGAAATGCACCAGAGCGTTCTCAGGACACCCTGAGCCTGTCGCAGCTCGACTAATATTGGCGACACTGGCACGAACAAGGGTGCTAGTTGTGAAATCGTTGTGAACCTTTGCGCTTTGCGGGGTCTTCGTGCAATTGAAGCACTGCGTGCGCAGTAGTGGCTTTCGAGAAGTCGGATTTCTCACGGCCAGCCCTGCAATTCTAAGGTACCTGGGCGCCGAAGGAGCACCCGAAGTAGTGCCGAAAGCTGAGCCTGATCTTGTTTCTTTGCGGTGGAGTTGCCTTGATCAGGCCCCATAAGACTCTGACACTATTAGGCAGAGGATGCCAACTTGAACCGAAAGTAAGGTGTCGTTTGCAAACATGGCACAGAATCGCGTGAGGGCCTGCATAAATCTAGTTCAATCCACAAGCCGTGACCGTGTGTTGCTCTTGCGGCAGGTTACGAGCATAGAGTCCGGACAGGGGGACGGGGACCTGTTGCCTCTCTGCACTGGAGCTTCGGACTTCTAGCGGAATTGTGTGCGGCCCTGAAGTCCCAGGTTTCGGCGCTGCCAAAACGCCTCAGGCAGCTGTCCCTTGAGATTCCGTGTCGTCGAGGTGCCATGTGCAACACAAGAGTTCAAACTCCTACCTGATTTATCGAGCGGCCACGGTCGCATTACCACAAGCTGATCAAGTCTCAAACTGCTGTACAGTCGAAACTCAAGCCTTTAGGCTTGCCTCTTTGGCTTAGCCGGAGTCGGGAAAGGTGTTTTTGCCATGGTTCCACGATGGTTCTGCAGGATGCTGATCGAGATAGAACTCTTGAGACTTTGCGGGATGCTTTGTTGTGAGTGCCTTTTGTTTGCTTCAGACAGCAGGCACTCTGTAAATGAATTTTGCAGGAGGGCGGCCGGCAGACGCTTTGTGCAGAGCCACCACTGCGACTTCGCAACGGCTGCCCCGTGCCGCCACCCGGCCGTCACGAGAAGCCAACAAGACTGAAAATTGTGATTATCGATTGCTTTGTCATGTTGTTCTGAAACGTGACATGTTCATGCATTGTAGGAGAGGAAGCTCAGCCGAGGCTCTTACTTACCTTCGAGCCAGAGCTTCACCGTGAGGTGCAGATTCCGGAAAAATCGCACGATGAGCATGAGGAAGATTAACTAGCAAAGCGAGAGCCAAGAACCCTCGAACCGAACCTGGTGCCTCTCAGCAGGAGCTGGAGACCGTTCCAGCAGGAGCAGTGCGAGTCGGCTCTTCGGCAAGATTTTGTGGTGTTGATTTTGATTGGTGTCTTGGACTCAAGACTTGTGCTACTGCATCCCGCCCGTACTTTAGCTCTGCTTTGCGATCCGGCAACATTGTCTACTGTAGCAAATGAATACAATAGGAGGCTCAAGTTTTGGTTCCTGGTGACAGGGGTGCTGATGATGGACCTGGGCAGTGCGAAGAAGCTTCCTACATAACCCAGGTGCCCTGGCGAAAATTTTCGATGGGTTGGGCGGATTCCTGGCAGTGGTCATCGCGGCCGCTGGGGATGCTGCAGATGCTGAGCTGGGCGGCGGCGGTGTCGTGGCTCGTGCCGAATGAAGGGAGAGCAAGGGGACCCGCGAGATTTCAAGGCTTGGATACGGAATGGCTTGGGCAGGCGTTTTGCAATGTTTTACATTTGCAGGACCCAATGTCCCGCCTCGAAGCGCCGTGACGCTAAGGAGCTCTGTCCTGTCCGTGCAGATTCGCCTGCGGCTCAGCGAAGTCACGCATCCGTGGCCTGTCGTGGCCCTAAATATTTGGTGCAGAGACTATGCAGTTTACCGAACGAAGGGCACCAGCAACTTTTGCGGGGCCACGCCAGAATACACCCAAGCCCGACTCTGCGCAAACAGCAGCCACTTAGAAACTGAACACAGAAGCTTTTGCAATATCTTGCACATGGTCCTATGTCCAAATCTACACGGCTTAGCCACCTGTTGCAAGGAACGGCTTTCTGTGGTGGGAACTGGATGGCTCTCTCCGGCACATCGTCCTACCACAGGCATCACAGCAATCTTCGACGCGTTGTCAGGTGTAGCTTAGTTTGCCCAGTCAGCATCTGGACCCTGGATGCAAGTCTACTCCTGGAGTACCGTTGCCCGGCGCGCGTCTGCGTAGCATCGCAACGTTACACGGCTTGAGCTGACATTGCATGCAGATTGCATACGCTCCGCAGATTAATTTTTCCCCTCATAGTGAACCGCCCTGCCAAACATAAAAAATGTATTCGCCCTGAAGTAGGTTTTCTAGCACTAGGGTGTCTGTTGTAGCATCTTCACTTATGTCACATATGTCCTGCTGGACATCTATGCTCTTCCTTGGGCACGCCGTAATCCGGGCAGTCTGTTCCTGCGGTCGCTGCAACCTGCACTTCCCGGGCAATGCCTGCAGTCCTACAGTCCTGCGGACCTTGCTGGCTGCAGTTCTTGCAGTCAACTTAACTCATACATTCTAGTATACACTCACTCTTGCAATCGTAAGGTTTCGGATGCTGGCATAATCCCTAGGCCCCAAACCTAAACAATGAGAGGGAAAGGAACTCCGCTCAAACGTTCTAGCACTTACTCGCTCTTGCAATCGTAAGTGTTCGGGTCATGGGTTAATCCCTAAACCTAATACCTAAACTCCGCGAGCGAGAGGAGCGAGAAAGTTGGCTTCGATACAGTTATCGATCCTAAGCCTCCGCACTGGAAGGATCCCAAGCGTCTCCCGAGTGGCCCTGGTATCCCTCAATCTACATGAATCTCCTCTTGCCCTTTTTAAAACTCCTCTTCGGGCGAATTCCGGAAAAATGTCCTTCCGGGATTAGGTTTTTATACTCGGGTGGCCTCTGTGAACTAGTCGTAGGAAGTGATTAGAAAGATAGCCATATTCTCAAACTCTGCATCCAGGCTGACATTACCACTGGATCGACAATGCTAAATCTTTCACATGGCTGCTCGTGATTGACAGGGCACAAATGCCGTGGAGCTGCGTCGTACAGAGGCCACGAGTGGCCTTGCGAGCTGATAGCAAACGAGTTCGTGTGCTTGAGATTGAGACGAAATTGAACGTTGCGGCACGAGTTTTGTGCACGGTAAGGTGTTACAGGACAGCTTACTCTTTCACAGGTTTCGTGCCTTGCGAGGCGGGTGTCGGCTTTCGCTGTCTCCGTGCAGCAGCGCTGCCGGGTCGAGGTTGCCAGGCCGGGGTGCGAAACTAGTGTCCCCGAAGCCCGACAGCACACCATTATCTGAGTTGTCTGTTCAATCTTCTCAGCTTGTGAGTGCCGAGCCATCGTTGAGAGTGCGTTCGACTGCCGAAGGGCCCTTGAGCTACGCAGGAAAAGAGTAGAGCCCAAAGCGCTGCCACTTGCGGTTTTGCATGGTAGCGGAGCCCTGGCGACGGCTAGGGTTCCAGAAAGAAGCTACCTGAAGGCGGTCGGACGCGACCGGGAGCTCGACCTTCAGGTCAACGACTTTTGCCCGATCCTCCCGAGGGTGACGGTGATCTTTTAACGGTTTTGTGTACATCGAGTCTGGCTACCAGTGTGCTTGGTGTCTAAGTTTTGGTTTTGGGGCCTTCCGGGCCCGACTCAGGAGTGATCTCCTTGGTGCCATGGCCGAGACGATGGCTACGAGAATGCCGCGGACAGCGGCCACGGAAGGAGGAGGCAATGCAGTTGCTTCCCGGGGTTCGTCACCACTGCGGGCCAGATCGCCCCGGACTCCACCATATGGAGGTGCAGGCCTTGATGGGTCTGGCGAGGCCTCGGCAGTGAATGGGGGGAAGAAGTTTCATGATTTTCGAGTTGAAGCAGCTCCTGTGTGGGATGGAGAGAATCCTGAGGCTGAGTTCAGGCAGTACTCTCGGGCTTTGAAGCTGTGGTTGATTGAGGCAGAAGCCAGGTTGCCAGCAAACTTGATCGGCAAGAGGATAATGGATGCGATCCCTTTTGGATCGCGACTGGCAGCACTTCTGTCCCAGCTCAGCATCGACGACATCACGTCGGACACCGGCTACAAGACGATCTTGCGGATCACTGAAGAGCACCACGAGTACCTGAAGGATATGAAGCTGGAGCAGTCGTTCGAGCAGGCCATCTTCCGGGGGAAACGGCGGCCGGACCAGTCGATCTCCGGGTTCCTGGCCTCGAAGAAGGCGGCTTTCAATGAGCTTCGCCGCCAGGGCCTGGACCTCCTGGAGACTCGGGCGGGCAAACATTTGCTCGGCCACTTGATTATGAAGCAGGGGCAGTTCACGGATGACCAGCGCCAACGCATACGTGTGTTAACTGATGGCAGCATCGACTTCCAGAAGGTGGAGAGTGCTATTCGAAAGATTTTCAGTGACAGTATAGAGCACCCTGGCAAAGGTGGAGGACGGCATACCTATTGGGGTGAATGGGAGGCTGATGTTGCACTTGAGGAAGAGTATGACGAGATGCCGTATGAGGACTATTTGGCGACTGGCCTCGAGGAAGAGGAGCACGGCCTCTTCGAGGACCTCCTGGAGATGGATGATAATGGAGAAACCTACATGGTCCTAGACGAGGCCTTGCCCCCGATGATCGACGAGGCTGAGGCTGTGGAACTTGCCGGCTCCTACTTGAGCTTTGTCTACTATGAGGCCTCAGACCGCTTGAAGGGCAAGGGAAAGGGCAAAGGCAAGTTTGCCGCCAAGGGCCATGGGAAAGGTCATGGAAAAGGGAAGAAGGGTTCCACGGGAAAGGGACCTCGTAACCCTCCGGGTGTTTTCGGCGTCTACGGCACCTATCCGGACCACCGTCGAGCTCTTCGTGATAGTCGGGCCGCCCTGGGGTTTCAGTGGAAATTCTGGAAAGGGCAGTGGAAACTATGACTCGAGACCACGCGTCTCCCTCAGCGAGCTGAAGAGCAAGACCCGCTGTCACCAGTGTAAGCAGATCGGACATTGGTCGAGGGAATGCCCTCTGAAGAGACGGCCGCCAGCACCAAATCGGAGCTCAGGTCAACCTAGCACAGCCATGTTCTTTGTGAACCCGGGCGACAGCAGCTCGACCGGGTCAGACCCGAACCTCGTTCCGATGTGTGGAGCATACATGAGTGAAGTGCCTGTGTTTTCTGAGGAGGTTTTGGCAGGGTTCGATTCGTTGCAGAGCTATCTCAGCTACACCTTTGCATCTACGGTTGACCAGGAAGGCCATGCACTAGTTGATACAGCAGCTCAGCATGGTTTGATCGGAGCAGAGACCCTCAAGTCCCATGACAAGTTGTTGCAGGAACGATATGGTTTGTGTGTTCAATACTCCGGAGAAGCTGGTGGGTCTGTTCGAGGTGTTTGTGGGGCTGAGCAGGAGACGAAACTAGCCTACATCCCCTTGGGCCTCTGTGGTATGTCTGGTGTTTTGAGAGCACAGGTAGTACCAGGACATGTGCCGTGGCTCTTGCCCGTCTACTTGCTGTCTGCTCTGGGAACTGTAATCGACCTCAAAGGCCTCCACATGTACTACACGCGTAGTGGTGCTGTGCAAGAGCTTCACCGCAGACCAACAGGGCATGTGTCCGTGGACATCATGGAGTTTCCTGAGAAATTTTGCATCCCCGACAACTATCGGTTCGAGAGCAGCGAGGTCTGGTGTAGCAGGCTTGGGATAGTAACGTCCCCGGAGCTCACCATCCTCTATGCATCCACTGGACAAGTTGCCCATATGCCTCCGTCGGTGGCGCCGCTTCTTGCTGCGCTTGTCGCTGGGCTTCGGCATGCAGGTGCTTATGATGCTGCAGCAGGTGATCCAACAACCTCGACTTCGAGAAGCCCGGGTCCTCGCTTTGAGACGAGAGCGGCTGGAACAGAGAGCGTTGGATCTGCAGCGCCGGGAGTCCGCTTTGGTGGCGGCAGCCGGTGGAGTCAGCACCACGGTGCCCAAGCTTATGCTGCCCATGGACGACCAGGGACAGCAGCGACCTGCAGTGGAACATCGAGGGCGCTCCAAGTACCTGGCACCCGTTCTTCGTGCCAGCCCGACCTGTGCTCACAACACTACGAAGCACGGGGCCAACGCGGAGTGGTCGTGGACAAAGTGTTGCAACTGTGGGAGTACGGAGATGGTGCCCAAGATGACCATCGACAAGATGTCGGAGTGGAACGCGGTGTTGGTGCACCAGAAGCCGAACTACACCACGCCACAACAGCGGAAGGTCGAGAAGGAGGAGAAGAAGAAGCCAATGCGCGACCTCGCGTCAAGTTCGGCAGCACCACCACTAGGACCTATGTCGTCGATGGGTCCCCGACCGAGGCGATCTCCGTTGGCAGACGCAGTCGCGGCACTCCAGACCCACGTGATGAACACACCCGGGGAGTCCTCCGACGACCAGGCCTCGGACATCGAGATGGATGGGTGGCTCCAGATGAAGAAGGACGTCGAGGGCTACGAGAAGGAGATGGACAACCCTATGTGGACTCAGCGGTGTCCCTTGTGTCCCGGGATGGCGCACCATGGCGCACCTGATGTGGCACACAATCGAGAGGAGGTACTACTGGCAGTGTCGCAAGGGGGAGAGGAACTGCAACTACCGGTGGCCGGAGGAGACCGACTACCTGACGCCAGCGTTCGGGACCAAGCTTTGCTTCGAGTGTCAGCAAGAAGGTCTTGCGAAGGTGAACGTGCAGGGACGTTGGGGTTGGAAATGCCCGGCGTGCAAGGACTTCACATTGGAGCTGGACTTTCCAACAGTGCTGGGAGATTTTCTGCATCAGGGCGGCTACGACATGGAGAAGACGCATGCAGCCCCGGCCACGCACGACCTCCGCACAATGGGACCAATGGCTTCGTCTTCATAGGCTGGCTTGGTTCCACTCCGGTGCAAGAGCAGACTGGGCTCAACTTGGCTGATGTTGAGAAGACTTTGGATGTGAAGAACACGTTTGCCTGTTGGTATCATGGATGTCAAGTGCCTCCCTCAGCCGGCCTTCGCTTGAAAACGCCACTGGGAACCCGTATCATTGCTACCTGCAGTGGTCGTGGCCAGTGGAACTTCTTCTCGATTGAGCGGGCGGCTCAGTCTGAGTATGACCTGGGGGCCTACATGACTGTCCTCGTGTTACGTGTTACAGGAGGTGAAGAAGGAGTTCGCCGACTATGTCACAGACCAGGACCTCGACCCGATTGAGGTGACGATGTCAAAGAATGAGAAGAAGGAGCTGATGACAGCTCTGAGTTGGCTGAACGATGGCGGTGAGAGTTACTGGGACATTTTGGAGGATCCAGATGTATGGAACAGCCGTGACCTTGGTGAGGATGAATGTGACACCTTCTCCACAACCACCAGACAGGCGAAAACTACTGATGTGGAATCCCTCCAAGCACAAAGTACCATCAGCCGGCGACCCAAGGTTCCTCCAGCGTCCGAAATTCTTGAGCTGGGGAGAACTCAGTACAACCGTTTTCCTTGCAGCTTTGAGATGCATGTTTGGGTCAGTGAGCTTCGTGAGAACAACTGGGTTGTGTGTTGGCGAGAATACTTTGGCTCAGTTCTGGTGATCAACTTGAATGCCAAGACATCGGTGATGCCTACAGTGGGACCAGGAGCTCGACCAATTCGGTGGTCGGCTTGCACCACTGGAATGGATGAATGGACATGGGTGGAGCAGAGGGCCATGGGAGCCTTCGACCCACGGATTCGTGACTACGAGAAGATCATTGTGATTTACCGCTATGCCGTTCCCGGTCCGTAAGCGCAAACCTATGTGACGACCGCTGACATCACCAATCAGGAGAAAGCGGCTGTCATGCGGACCCATGTGAATCTGGGACATCCTCAACAGCGAGAATTTGTCCGCCTTCTCAAGGCGGCGGGCGCCCGAGATGACATCATCAACTACGTTCTTCGAGAATTTGAGTGCCCGGGATGCAAGGTTGAGAAAAGACCTCCCACTCGACTTCCAGCAGCCACGCCGAAGACCTACGATTTCAACGTTGTCGTGGGGGTGGACATCCTCTTCCTGCACGGCGAGAACAACAGGACTGAATATCCGGTTCTCAACATCACATGTTGGGGAACGTTGTACAGCACGTTTGGTCTTGTGGACCTTCGGAAGAGAACAGCAGAGCTCACCTGGCTGACCTTTGCCCGGCTGTGGCTTCGAACGTTTGGGGCTCCTCAATACCTTGTGTATGACCAAGGAAATGAATTTGTGGGGGCTCGCTTTCAGCAAGGGCTTGAGCAACATGGGATTTGCCCAGTTGAGATCAGCCGGGATGCACCGTTTGAGAATGGGGTCACAGAACGACGAGGCGGCTTGTTCAAAGACCTCTACTACAAGACCAGGGAGCTCGTACAGCCGCAGGACCCCATGGAGGTCGAGATCATGGTCTTCGAAGTGTCGTGGGCACTCCAGACCCTGATGAACCGCTCAGGGTTTTCCCCAGCACAGCGTGTTCTGGGAAGGCAACCTCAGCTTTCACTCGAGACCTTGTCGGACCAAGGCCAATATCACTTGTCCAGCACCCAGGATCGAGCCTGGGCGGAAGCCGAGAAGATTCGTCAGGCAGCCCGACAGGCCTTGGTACAATTGGATGCCAAGGAGAGGCTTGCTCGTGCGCGACGCGGACGCCCTCGCCGGGAGCTAGAGCGACAACAATTCACTGAGGGTGAGCCGGTGATTCGGTGATGCTATGGCGACAGGGGCGCAGAGGTGCACTTGCCAAGGTGGGCCCATGTTTCGTTGTGCTACAACGTGGTCACACCGTCTGGCTCACGAGGCGTGGCGAGCTCTACAAGTGCCACGTGTCCCAGGTGTTTCCCATGGGCAATCTGGAACGACAAGGGCTAGAAGCTGTACCACTTGATCTACTACAAGCGAAAGAGCAGCTTAGGTACAACAGTGAGAAGTTGGGCTACATCGACGTCACTCAGGAGAATCAAGAGAGTCAAGACGATGGAAGGTCCGTTGGACCCCCTGATGGATCGCAACCATTTCAAGAGGCGAATCCATCAGATCTTCATGCACTACCAGCAAGCGAAAATCCATCAGATCCTCATGCACTACCAGCCAGTGAAAATCCCTCAGATCCTCATGCACTACCAGCCAGTGAAAATCCCTCAGATCCTCATGCACTACCAGCACGAGAAAATCCCTCAGAACCACATGCACTACCGGGTCCAGTTGCCGTGTCCGATGACGATCAGGAGACAGGTCAGGTCACCAGGGTGTCGTCGTCAGCAGACCAGAGCTCAGGGTCGTCTAGTTCTAGTTCAAGCAGCAGCAGCAGTTCATCGACCCCGGAGGCCAGACCAAGCAAAGTACCTCGAGCAGCAGAGTGGCCAAAGGGTGGTGATGGCACGAAGTTGCGCAGATGGACACGGGTGGATGCCAACGCGAAGCGATTCAGGACATCCACTTCTCAAGGCCCGCTCTGGGGTGACGTGGTTCAACGAATTACAGTGGACAACGAGAGCGGCAAGGTGATTTGCACGGAGGAGATTTGTGGGAATGAGAGGCCACAGCAGCTACATCGTGCTCTGCCAGAAGGAACTCGGTCAATTCGGACAATCCTTGTCTATAAGAAGGTGACCGGACATCCCGATCCCGGTGTGGACTATGAACCTGGGCCAGTTGGTGACGATGCGGCTGGAGATGATGCCGATGAAGATGGCAGGGTTATCCGACGCATCAAGAGATCATTGGATGATGCAGTGGATGGCCTTAACCCTCAAACACCGCGTACCACCAGGGCAGCTCCCAAGTCCAGGGTGTTTGGTATGTGGGTTGCTGATGTGAAAACCCAATGGGGAGACCGAGCCCGCTACCCAGTCATTGCCAATGCCCGGGACCTCGACTTGTTCAAGAAGATCCTCCACTCAGACACCTACTACCTGTACTCCGAGATACATTCAGACTGGGTGTGTTTGACCAAGCAGAGTGGGAAGGAACTTCAAGAGCGTCATCTGACTACTGAGGAGAAGGAACTCTTCAAGGAAGCCAAGCTTTTGGAGATTCAGAACCTCGAGGGTGGAAACGCGATCGAGTTCATCACCGACCGCGAGGAGATTGCAAAGATCCTCAAGGAGCTACCTCATCGTGTGATGCCCAGTCGGTTTATCATCACAAAGAAGATGCAAGAGCTCGGGCAGTCTTGGAAAGCCAAGGCACGTTGGATTTTGTTGGGACATCGCGACCCCGACGCCCTCACTGTCGAGCGCTACGCACCGACACCAGCCACCACGACAGTGTATATGGTGTTTCAACTGCTGTCCAGCATGCGCTATTGCCTGACCATTATGGATGTTACGTCAGCTTTTGGCCAGAGCGACCACGTGGAACGTGAGGCTGGTCCCCTGTTCGCTACAATGCCTCCGACCGGCATTCCTGGAAAGGACCAGAGTTTCTTGATCAGGGTGAAGACAGCGGTATATGGGTTGGTCAACGCGCCAGCCACATGGAGGCGTACAGTGAGGACCTACTTGTTGAGCCTTGGTTACCAAGAATCGTCGTTCGATCCCTGTCTTTATTATCTCAGCTTTGAAGCCGAAGATGGCGTGCCAGCAGACCAGCGCGGTTGCGCTGGCATCGTCCTCCTGGATGTGGATGATTTTGTGCAGGGAGGCAACAGCAGACATGCCCAGAAGATGGAGGCCCTCCGTGGCCGCTTCCGGTTTGGGAAGTGGAGAGTGGTGTACAAGTCTTCGGACAGTACCTTGGACGGACTGTCTACCAGGACGAGGACTACGGCATCCGGGTCTCCATGGAGCAGTACATCGACGAGAAACTCCGACCGATTTTGTTGAGCCGTGAACGGGCCAAGGACGAGACAAGTTTGCTGACTGAGAAGGAGGTCTCTCTACTTCGTGGAGCAGGTGGCTCTCTACTGTGGGTGGGAAAGGAATCTCGCCCTGACATGTCGGCAGCTTGCGCGATGACGCTGTCATGGAACAAGGAGGGACCACAAGTGCTACAGGTCAAGCAAGCTAACAAGGCCATCAAGGAGCTCAAACAGACCTCAAAAGTTGCTCTTCGTATTCTTCCAATTCCTCTGGAAGCAGGGTTCTGGATGGCAGTTTCGGACGCCAGCTTGGGAAATGATGGGGTGAAGTCCCAAGGTGGCTTCATCATTGCCTTTGCGGACAAGAAGATCCTGGACGGCGAGCGGGCTGACTTCAGTATAAATTCCTGGAGGTCACACCGGCTTCGAAGAGTTGTAAAGGCGAGTCTTGGATCTGAAGCTTTGGCAATGGACGATGCCCTGGCTGAGCTTGAATGGGTGCGTGCACTTTTCTGTGAACTATGTGTGCCAGGCACCACCGTGTGTGATGGAAGCCGATTTTCCAATGACGAGAGCATTGTGGTGGTTCGTCAATCTGATGAGCAAGACAGCATACTTGTGACGGATGCCAAGGCTTTGTACGATCTGTTTCATCGCCGATCAGGATCGGCTGGCCTCGACCGTCGTGCACAGATTGATGTGTCTGTCATGTGCCACAGTGCAAAGGTGCTAAACAGCACCATCCATTGGATTCCCGGCCATTACATGATTGCCGATCCTCTCACCAAACGGCTGGGAAACAGCAAGCTTCTTCGAGGCATCATGGCCAAAGGCAAGTATGCCATTGGGGAAGAGGCTCTCAAGGCACTACTAGCTGAGCTGTCGGAAGGTCCCCCTGATGGATGCGAAACTAGTGTCCCCGAAGCCCGACAGCACACCATTATCTGAGTTGTCTGTTCAATCTTCTCAGCTTGTGAGTGCCGAGCCATCGTTGAGAGTGCGTTCGACTGCCGAAGGGCCCTTGAGCTACGCAGGAAAAGAGTAGAGCCCAAAGCGCTGCCACTTGCGGTTTTGCAGGGGCAATCTCAGTTCGCACTGTGAACACCAGAGACCCTCTGGCACACTTGCACGTGTAATTTGATGTGCTTACTGGCAGTGCCTGAAGAATTGTCTCCCGCAGAGTTCGTGTCTTTGACAGCAGCTTGTCTGGTCCCCAAAGTGGCAGCAAAGTGCAAGCAGGTGCTGCAGCTCGGCCCCCGAGAGCCACTCCCAATCTTCGAGTTGCCAATGGCACCAACAAGGTAGCGCTTGCAGTTGCAGGGTGGGCAAAGATGTGAGCTGCGTGACTTGCCACAGGGGCCGCAGGATTGGAAATTCATCCACCAGTTCTGGATCAAGAACAGAACTTGAGCTGCTTGCATGGCATGGAATCACAGGCAAGGACGAGGCTTCCCTGAGGGCAAGTCACTGATGCAGGCTGTCAGTGGCTTTGATTGGCCTCGGGAACGAGCGATCGGAATGGAGTCTGCCACTGCGCTTGCCATCCCTGATGTGCGCACTTCTCGTTTGGTGGGCCTGAGCATCGTGAATCGGTTAGAGAGTTGCAGACATCGCCTGCAATTTTGCTGTCCTTCTGGCTTCCTCGCAAAATCCATTGAGCATGACGGCAATCCTGAATTGGGCCAGTGATGGATTGTTCTGCACAAGCGCCAGGCAACAGGGTGAGTTGCCGGGACCTGACTTCACAGTCATCGTTGAGACATGTTGAGACCACACCGAACTCAAACGAAGCTGTCGATCTGTTTGGAAGCCATGGGTAATACATGCTGGCTCCGTCAGTTGCTACTCGATCCCGCCGACCATCTGCTATCAACCCAGGCCCGTGCAGCGGTGGTCTTCGTCTTCTTTTGAGGCAGCTCGGATGCCTCTGTGCAACTGGAGACAATTATAGACCTGCGTTGCCACGAGAGGTGCGATCGTGTCATCTCCCAGCGGAAGAAGTCTTGGAGGTGTGCCGGCCTTAGCGTGGTAGAAGCGAAGATTCGCACGGGAGAGAAGGAGACTTGGTCGCACCTCAGATTCCAATGCATTTATCGGCACTCGTAGCGTTGCCACGTGGATCCCTGTGTCACTTCTCTCCGTGTGTCAGAGTCAAACCTAGAGCAAAGCTTTACGATTCGGATGTAAGGAAACCAGCTATGAAAGCCTGCACCCATCACCCGAAGGCCTCTACCGGTAGCTGTCGCGATTCGCCTCCTCATCTGTTCCATTCATTGAATCTGTAAGAGTGGGGATTCTACCAGACCTATGCCTGTGAGTCGACGTTGGCAGCCCGATCGAAGGCACCGGCACCGAAAGGGCTCACACTCGGCACTCGCTTGGACCTTTTTCTCAGGCGCTGGGCTCGAGCAATCTTCCCGCTGATTGCGCGGCGAAGTGCTCCTGAAACCGACGCTAGTCAGCGATGTAATTGCAACTGCACAGGCCGCGTGAAGGCTTCAGGGCTGGGCTTGGGAGAAGTACGGTCTGCACACTGCTCTTCGCCCCAGGAAGTGGTGATCGGAGCTCGACGATGGTGCTCTTCTTGGGATAAGTCTTGAATTCTACAGAGTCCTTGAAACATGCCTTCAGGTTTGTGAACAGCACAACCCTCCCCATCCAGCTCACGCTGCCGGACAGGGTGGATCAGTATCGAGTTGCAAATGCAACATAGGGCATACGGCTTCTTGTTAGCAATGTTGTGACACATTGTGCTTCCGGAACAGCTGCCTGAGTTTGAGATTCCCGTTTGCATACGTGATGGACCTGGGCTTTCGGCATGTAGGACCAAGGCCACACGAATTGACCATGCCACCGATAGGCTCGCCAGAGTTTTTCTGAAGAAAGAGCGCAGCTCAGTCGCTGAAAGCGAGGATGGATCGGCGCTGCCGCATCTGACTGCAGGCGCCCGGCCCGGTCTGAGGCTGTGCCTGAACGCCAGCCGGCTCAGTCAAGACAACTGAGCAAATTGACAGCCACTAGGTTGCTCAACATAACTGTGCGCGAAGGCTTTTCGGAAGTTACATGAGCTTCGCATGGTGCTTGCGACATGCTGCCGTTGCCTTCAGGTGCGACACTTTTAGCACATCCTCTTCACGAGGTGCACAGCTCATTCTTTGATTCGTCCTCACTCGTCTTGGAGAGTATCTAGATGCCACGCGTTCAGGTATGTGTGGATTCAGCCAGAGTTTCGACGAGTGCTTCAGCATAAGACACAGGGTGAAACAAGTTGCAAGGGAGCGTTGCGTCTGATCTTGGTGTGGACCCGTGGCAGCAGCGTTTCTGTCTGCGAGGCCGATGCTGCAGAGGCCGAAGATCCAAAACAGCTGCACTTAAGTGCAGTGACCAGACTCAGACCGCCCGACGCACCGAGCTGTAGTGTCTGCAGCGTTGCGACGTGCCATCCGTTTAAGCGAGCCTCACTTGTGTTGTGGCAGGCACAAAGCTGCCTGCAGAGGCACAGAGCAAGCTATGTCGGGCCACCCGAAATTCAGGGCGATATTCTCATGGATGAAGCAGGAGTCCCACGAATTGGTCGATTTGGACGGGGAAGTTGGGTTGAGATGGTACCCTGGTCTTGTGCCCCTCCTGTCCTCTAGTTTATTGCTCATCTGCTCATTGTAGTTTTTCACTCCTCCAAAATTGCCTATAGTGTGGACCTCGTCAGCGCTTCAATTATGAATAGCTCAGCGGGACAACCAGCAAGAAACCAAACAGACCTCCCACAACATAAGAAGCAGGGCAAACTATATGCGTCTTGTGTTTATGAGAAACTCGGTGGTGGAACTAAATAATGAAAAGCCAAGCCTTCCGCCGGCCACGATAGCACAACCCAAGAACAAGCTGCACGCATCTTCGACGAGCATGAGCAGCACGGGGCTGAAATAACACATAACAAAGAAGCCAAACATAGCACATGTCGTCCAGAGCGACGGCACAGCACAACGAGTGCAATTGCGAACTTCTTCAATTTATCAAGGACGCGAGGGTGAAGGTGAAATATTGAAGAAAGCAGACACGTCGTTCGGAGCGGGCACAGAGGGCGTTACCTGGCTAGGTTAGGACCTGGCTAGGTTAGGAAGGATGCATCTTGCAGTGTCACAGCTTCCATGGGCTGGAGGGTGGATGGCGGCAAGTGTGTGTCATGGGAAAACCGTCGCTTCAGCCTGGCTGACATTTCCTGAAATGCTCAGAGATGCAGTATTAGCAGCACCCTCCCGTGCATGCATCTTTCGAACCTAGTCAAATGCATGATGAACTGACGCCCCGGAGGGTCTGTGGCCTCCGTGGATCAGGCGCAGCTGTGCAAGGCCATGCAGGTGTCAAGGCAAGCGCTCGCACAGGGCTGGAAGGTGCTACCGCGACGCACCGTGGCACATATGTCTATTGCAATCTCTGATGCTTGGCCTGCAGATCCGGATCTCAGCTCCACCATCTCCTTAGCCTTCGGACGCGACTCTGTCAACGTCCAGCTGCCAGGCGCGGAGATGAACTCATACAGAACTCCTTTAGACCAGAGCGAGGCATAGCCAGGCTTCCTGTAGTTCTTGTGTAGAATGTAGCATTTCTGTCCACCGGCTCGGTTTGGCGAGGCGCCGGTGGCTTCGAGGATGTCTTCTTCCCCAGCGGAGAGGTGTGCAGCCTAATTGCAAGGCTAGTGCAGGCAGGACTTGTTTGCCGACCCGACAGCCAAGCGATTGAGGATCTGAAACGTTGCAGCTACTTGATGATTCGCTACTGTAGGACCACTAGGAGTAAAGGAACATCGCATTGCTTTTCTTAGATCATTCACGTGCAGACGGCATGCGCAGTTTTGGGTCCAGCAGATTCTTCTTTTGCATGATATCTTGTGGTGTGACGCAGGACGAGCCGTTTATGTTCAGCATACGCTTCGCAAAGCTTTGAATCAAAGGTGCACCCAGTCTTGGCCCTCGACTTGGAAAACACCTGCAAATCCGATTGGATTTTCGAGCGCAGGACTGCGTCCTACGTGAAGAGGGCATAGCTCTCGCCATGACATTCGGGCTGGTCGCCGGCTCAATGCCGAGTAGTCCAGTTGCATGTGCGGTGTTTTGTTCCTTGGGCAAATGACCTCGTGTTTCAAGAGCTGCGTGTTTCCAAGACAGGTTGAACGGTTGTGCAGCGCCAGGAAAAGCTGCAACGTAAGCCGCACTCGCAGAATCTATCAGATGCCTGCTGAGGATTGCAGCCTTGTCTCTCTGGTACCAGCGCTAGTTGTCTTCAACTGCTCGCCACAGCAGGCTGAGTTGGAGGGTTCTTCGATTCGACTGTTCGGGGCAGGTTCTCTGTCGCTTCTGAGAAGCATGTGTTCATCTTTCGTCACCTTGCTCCGATCCAGTGCGCATGAGTTTCGCCATGCAAGTAAGCCTCTTGTTCCGAATCCACTGACTCTGCGAGGTTGGTTTTTTATGGAATGGGCAGGCTGGACTGTGCGGCATGGTGCAGTGGTATGCAAACCGAAGATTCCAAGCAAAGACGTGAGACTGCCCTTTGTGCACCAACACACATGCACGCTCTGGGGAAGGCCTTCGCCAAAACAGCTACAAGCAAACAAGCAGCTGCCAGGCGCCTGCCCAAGCCGAATGGCTCAATGCGGGCCAGCGCTACTTGGCTCGCACCGTACGCCGTGGTTTGGCCATCCAGCAACTAATCGATGCCCACCCATAATTTGGTGGCTGTTCTAGAATGTTATAGAGGCCCTCTATCAGCGGCAGAAGCCTACACTTGAAGCAATACATGGTGTCCAAACCTTAGGCCCGGCCAGCCCATGTAGCACTGACCATGCAGCCAAAGCTCACGCAACGCTTGCCCGCCTTTGGTGTGGCCTGCTTGCTGCGATTTGCCGTGAAACATTGGAATCATGAGTCTTTCGACTTAGACTTGCCGCATACTGGTGTGAGGTCTGGCTCTTTGTCGTTTCTGCAATACCCCGGGCAGGCAAAGCGCTGCGCGTGCCCATGGAGCTAAGCGAGGAAAGTGCATAGCTCGGACATGACTTCCATGCGGCCAAAATCAGAGCACGCCCCAGGCAGGCAAACCGAAGAGACTATTTGCTCCGACTTTCTACAGTCGCCTGACGTCGTTTGCACTTGTGTTCGGAGCCTATGAGGCAGCCGCAGTCTGCTGCTGCCGGTGGCCAGGGACGCCGCACCCGAGCGGCCAAAGTTACAGGCAGAAGAGAGCACATGCAGGTCTTTGACATTTTTACATGTCAGGGCTTCAAGCCGAGGCATCCGCCGTCCCCAAACCTTGCGCAAGAAAGGGACTGCCCTTCGTCTCATGAGCCCATGTGCGGACAGGTCCTGGTCAATACACAGCATAACGAGCTGCTGATTTCGCCTCCCTTTGCAGTCGATCGTGCTGCTGCAGGCTTCCTGACAGATTCTGAAAGTATGATAGCTCCCTCCTGCTGTTGTTTCCATACACACTGCTACTGTAGGTTTTCTTGAAGTGATCGATTGAACACAGCCTTGAATGCAGGCTGCAGTGCCGCCATGTCACTGCCCTCCTCTGCCCGCCCGGAATTATGCCGGGTGGCCGTCGACGAGGCCTTCATGGAAGCAGCATGTCCAGCCAAATCGAAAACCACGAAAACGTGGCTCACAACTGTTAATCCCTTGGCTCGGCAGGCCTTTGGGGCTGTCGCTGTATCCGTAGCCGGCCGAGAACGCTGCCACCGGCTGACCTGTGAGGAGGGTTTGGAGGCCAAACTTTCTGAGATGCTGTCACACCATCATCGCTCGTCCCCCCGAACCAACCTCTAACCTTTCAGCTGCAGGGGAAAACCATGGGAAAGCCGACACCCGCCAAAAGTTCCGTGGACTGTTGTGCTCGTAAGCTTCCATGTCCTTCAGAGCCATGTGGGTAAAGCACGGAAGCACAGGCTTATGTTGACACGGCCCCGGCCGATGTAGCGCGCAGCGGTGGCAGCATTTATTTCGGCGTGGCAGAGTGACCGGGTGGCAGCAAGCCCAATTACCCTACCGCATCTGTTTCCATGATTCATCATGATTCGTCGTGCACCAGGGGTATGGGCATGAGGCTTTAGGGCTCTCAGCTGGTACGGATTGCCTTCTGCAAGCTTGTCAAGGAGACTTGTACTCTTGGAAACCTGCACCAGATTCAGGCCATTTGAAAGCTCATCCTCTGTCGTCCTGGTGTTGCAGAGACCGGGGTTCGGAGCCAAGTGACGAGCTCGCACAGCACGATCACGAGACCACAGCAACTGTTGCCTTGGGCTACATGGTCACGAGATCTGTGCCATCGCGGCATCAGAATCCCTTACTGGGCAGCCTTGCAGCTAAGGCCTGGCATAGCACGGGTTGACGTAGGTCTCAGTCGGAACAACACCCAGGCGCCGCATTGGGAGTGTAGACGCCTAGAGAGCCTAGAGACAAGAGTGACTAGAGTCTATAGAGATGCCTAGTGCGGTGGAGAACGCACGGCAGAGCTCGCACTTGCGGGGCCGGCTGTTGGCTCGCTTGCATTGTTTCATGGTTCAGGCCATTCCTGCAACTTCGTCACTGGGGGTGCCAGCGCGAGTGGATGTTAGCGTCAAGGCACAAAAACTCAAGATGCAGTGCTGCAAGGCTTGCAGGGAAGATGTACCCAGAGAGAAGCAACACGAACTGATATGCTGCAAAGCTATGCATGCTATGCCATTCACATCTTGTAAGAGACTTGGTCGTGCTAACGACAGTACCCGTCAAGAAAAAGTCCGAGGAGATTTACGTTGCCCCCTCGTGAGGATTTGGCGTTCCGTTTTGGGATGATGTGGTGCAGTTCTCCTTGATTCGTGCCAGAGCTACTCTGGTCAGGAGCATGTTGCGACGGTGTTTGTCTCTCTGGGCCATGGACGAGTGGACGAGGCAGGTCCCGGGTGCTCGCTGCCACCTGCTTCCATTTTGTATAATTGCAGCATTTGTTGGAGGAGGCTGCACAGTCCGAGACGCTCCATGAGCTGCAGCCACCAGTCGGCGGGTGAGAGGGCTTTGGGGAAGGGATCTAAGGCCGTTCTCAGAAAAGTGGCAGATGCTGGTACGAAAAAAGTGTCTGTTGTGCACGACATGACCTCGGCCGCTTGCGCCCAGGCTAGGGGGCCTTACGCTCTCCCTGGCGGAAGCTCCTGGCCTGCAGGAGGCGTGGGGCTCAGCTGCGCAGCTTTGCCATTTTTTTCCCTTACAGCCTTCTGGCAACGTCGCAAAATCCCACAGCGAAGTGCGGTTTTTGCAGAGACAGTTCATATAAATGCCCCACAGTTCGTGCGCTGAGGGTCTGTTGATGGGTTACAGCCCCGAGACGATCTCTGTCGCGTTGGACGGTTTCCAGGCGGGAGTACGTAGTACGTGGAGCCTTACAAGCCTCCAAGCGAAATCTATTGAAGGTGCGGTTGCGACGATTCGCCAACGATAGCGAAGAGGCTTTCAGTGTGATTGCCTTGCTTGTCAATGTGTATGGTATATGCTCTCAGGCAGAAACGCAGATATTCGGAGACGGAATGACATCCTCACTGATCAGTGACAAGCCCACCCTGGCAGTTCAAAATCCGCATCGACGCCGTGCAAGTGGACCTGCGCCCAAAGAAGGTCTCGTCCCTGGGAGATGTCGCCGATTTCAGTTTCGCTTGGCCGGTAAGCCAGATTGCTTCTGTTTGCGAACCACAGGAGGCACTGATTTGCTCAAACAAACTTCTGTAGGCGGTTCGGCTGGTGAAAGGTTTTGTTCTATCGATTTGTCGAGTGGCAGGCGCGGGATCCCCAACCGCTGGTTCTCCTGGCCTCAATACCACGCCGAAGAGCGCTGCCCTTCCTCCGCTCCTCGCTGCTTGAATGGGTCTTCCAAAGCACGGAATTCTGTTAGTTTTCAGCGTTTTGCGCATCGGGCACAAGCAGTGGAGTGCCGGGAGCAGCAGCATGATTTCGGCTCCTTCTGGAGTGATCATTGTGAACATGTCATCAGTGTGTGTGTATGTGTGTGATTCACAAATAAAGGGAAGGCCAGTGTTGCCGTGTTTTTGACGGTCTCGGCGGACCGGTTGCATGGGATGGCCGCCAGAGCAGGGGCACGAAGCGTGTGCAGATAGCTTTCTCATGCAGGTCGCACTCACTCCTACAATTATGGTCAGCTATGGCAGCTATGGTCCGTAGGAAGCCACCGACCTCCTGATTCCGTCGAAACATGCCGAAACAAGAAACACTGAGACCAAGGCTGGAGCTCCCTGCGTCGTGCCTGCAGCGATCCCGCGGAGTGGTGCCCGTGATATCCAGTGCTTAGACGGGCTTAGGCTCAGGATCTTCCGAGCGGGGATTTTCAAGGATAGCATGCAGAGATCTAGGGCGGCTTCACGGGGCAAAAGGCTTCGAGCAAGGACTGGTCATGTGCAATAGGCCTCCCTTCTCAGCTTGCAATTTGTCCCAGCCTCGAGTCTGCTTCCGTAAAATGAAACAGCCAATGTGTCGGAATTCACTCTGCTCACACTGCCTACACCCCATGCCAGGCGCTTTGGTCTTTGTCGCCTCGATTTGGGTCCGGCAGAGGCAAGAAGCGGCAAGAAGGGTGAGGCTGTAAGTACAGCTGCTGGGTTTTGACGACAAGAATCTACACTAGCCGAGTTTTGTCTGTCATGGTTTGGTGGTTTATGGTTAGGAAAGAGCTCGAAGGAAGCAAGAGCCTCCCCAATCATGCTTGAAGCTCATGGACGAGCAAGTCTCTGTTCCGTGAGACTCCCTCGTCTTGCAGGTCACTGTGACAGAAGCGGTCTGGCAGGACACGCGATTGCAGCGCCCTAGCTGTCACTAGCTCAACCCAAGCGATCTGCAGGAGGTCGGCCGCTTCCTCGACCAGGCCGCCTCTGGCCCCCGCGGACTGGGCCCGCAGGCGCCCCTAAACCTCTGCCGCACGAATCAACGTTTCCTGAAGCTTCCCTTAGAATGGCTGTATCCGCATTTGTTCGAAGTTCTTGCAGGAGGTGGCTGCGCGGGTTGGAAAGGCCAGCCACCGAAGCCACTTCGTCCATCTTCGTTACATGTGTTAGCATATGTGATCGACTTTGGACTTCTCAAGAAAAAGCAAATCAGCTCGTATTCTTGATCATAAGGGCCAACACAAGCCAGTAAAGAGAAACGAGACGCCAGCCGCGGTTCCAGGAGCTGCCAGCAGTGCCTCCGACAAGCGGGCAACGACTGCAAGTGGAGCAGTTCAGTGTCGAGGCCAGGCATGGCAGTTGAGCGAAGCGCTCTGCCGCAAGCTAATCATGAAGACTGCATAGCGAGGCAAGGCATGTACAGACTGCATCGGAGCATCGCATGAACAAGTTTCAAGCTGCACGAGTGAGGCGGTGAGCCTCAAAGTTTGGTGCTCGCTCTACCTTCCCGAGGCGCACCGCAGCACGTCCCAACAAACTCGAAGGCAGTGAAGTAGTGTAGGGTCCTGTACAGGCCACGTTCCTTCCTGCTGCCTTTCGCGCGGCTGCGTCTTGGCCAATGTTTGCAATCTGCAAGCGATGCAGCAGGACAAACAGGTCTAGCCTAGCTGCTCTTCAACTGAGCTCTTTGGATGGGCTGTTTGCCAAAGACAGAGGGATGTCTGCGTGGCTCTTGCCGAGCTTGGCAAGCCCTGAGGTAGAATTCTTGGGCCTCGGGACTGAGACACTGGTGGTGGAGGGAGCGAAGGCTTTCGGCTGGCTTCTTCCAAGCTGTAGGATGAGACTGTTGCCATTGCAGGTCCGAGTAGCTGCACAACCCTGGCTCGTCGGAAGCTGCTCAGCCGCAAGCTGTGTGGCCAGGGCCTGTCAAGATGCCCATGTAGTAGCAATGCAGTCTGCAACTCCAATGGCTCGAGGAGGTGGGCGACACCTTATGGGCTCTGTGTCCTCTGTCTTGGACAGCCTGTCGCGAGCATATCTTCCACAGGCAGGGCATGGCAGGGCCGTGCTACTTGCATGGCTCGCGTGCAAGAAATTTAGCCGGGATTCTGCTGCAGGTGCGGAGGTCAATGCAACTTGGATCTAATTGGCCACACTGACACGAACTGGATCATCCAGATCTAGAGCTTCGCACACGACCTAGCTTCAACATGGACATCCAACAACCGAAGCCTTCACGAGCATGTTCCTTGTCAAGGGCTCAGGGTCGTGAGGGTGCAGGAGTTTCAGAGCTTCTGAACTACCTGTGTCAGATTCTCCCTCGTTGCCAACTCCAATGCGGCCCTTGGTGGCCTCCTTGGATTGCGTTGCTGGCGTCGGCTTTTCGGGTGTGCTCGGCGTCCCGGCCCCAGTACATTGTGATACTGCACGTGAGTTAAGTTAAAGATGACAAGCACGTTCGTCGTGTTGCCAGTTGTTCAAGACATGAATCAGAAGCCTTTTCAGTGCTCGTAGGTTGAGTTCAAGGACAATGGTGCCATACGGTGAATTCAGCACGACTTATGATTAATGTTTGAATGCGTGTTTGCAACAAATGTGTCTCCAAAGTGCTTTTGCCGGGAGCCCCGTCAGTCGGGCAAGGTGAATTTGGAGTTATTGGTTGCATGACCATGATATACTATACAAAACTTTCAAGGCGGATCAACAAAGCTTGCTACATGTTCGGTCGGGAGGACTTTTGCGTCGCCGGCGTCTTCGACAGAGGTAGCAAGAAGGCATGGGCTGGAAGTGACAGGGAGCCCGGCGGTAAAGCCGGGAAAATGAAGGACCAATCGACAAGTTCGGGATATAAGCTCACGCACCAAAGACCAGCGGATTGGCCTAGATCGCCTCCGTCAGGTCCTGTGCGCGATTGATGAGCAATAACAATAAACACACTGTACATGCGCATCCGCGTGAGTGTGGGTGCTTGGCGTGCGTGCCTTCGTGAGTGCGTGGGTGTGGTTGGGTGGGAGGGTCGCGACAACTTCACTTCTTCAGGGTGTGGTAGAACCAGTCACATGTTAACATGTTAGTTGCACAACAGGGCTGGGAGAGAACTGTTTGCAGAATCTACATAACTACTTTAAACCTCGTTTCAGTCCAACTCTGCAGTATGGCGCAAAGTCACAGAATTCCAAAGGCCAGACTGTCCGCAGCGTGAGACCTGAGCTTTGTGCCCTGGGCGCGGATGGTGCTGTGCGTGCTGCTGATGGCCGCGGTGCTGAAGGCTCCTTCGCTGCATTCGCCGACAAGGTGTCCTGTGCCACAGCATGCCATAGCTACGGCTGCTGTGTCCAAGCATTGGGGCCTTGGTGCGCCCGTGAAGCTATGTACTTCTTACTACTTCTTCAAGATGTGCTGTGTTGTCGCAGAAGCTGAGCACTGTGGTTTGTCCTTCTGCAGACTGTGCGTCCTTCGTAACACTGAAAGAGCGGATTAGCAGCCTGCAGACCAAGGCTCCTGGTTGTCGCAGGCGCGTTGCTTTGTATGTAGTGCAGACCGGACTGCAACTTCTGTGCCGGAGTTCCAGACGTGTCAGATCGTGGGCAGGATAGAGGCTTCTGCATGTAATCGGTGCAGGTGGACGGCAGCATCGCTGCAAACCCGCCAGAGACGACATGCGGCCGTTTCGTCGGGTCCTTCTCTCAGATGCCTTCGAGCAACGTGTCACGTGTGGACTCATGATGAGATTCTTACACAGTGTGCCACACACACGCACCGTACTGAAGTTAGCAGGTGGCGCAGTCGTCAAAATCTTGTGCTGTCAACGACCTGCTTGTCGAAAGCAAGCATGTCAAGACTTGTAGCAAATACTAGTATGGCACTTGAGATGCTGGACCAGCAAAATAGCTGATGACCGCTCGGTGCAGAACCTGAGCCAACTCAGAGCCATGGAGCCTCCAACTGATGACACTTCCGCTTTGTTCAGCTCTTCGGAGGTGCCTTCGACGATGCTGTCGCCGCCGCGGCTAGTGAGAGATGCACATGACTTGCACAACGAGTCAGATGCTCCCTTTTCGTGCTTGTACTACGTGAAGTGACTTGAAGTGGCCGAGCCTCGCACCGAGCCTCGCTAATGCCTCGCCCAAGAAGGCGCGTGGCTTTGCTTGAAAGGCAGCAACTTGGCCAGGCCAAAGAGTCCATGGAGCTCTATGGCCGTTTAGCGGATCCAGAAAGAGCGCCTCGAAACCCAGAGCCCTCACCGCCCTTACCGTGGTGCTGCCTTACATTGCATGACCTCTTGCACTTGAGAACAGATGAGTCCAAATTTCCATGCTTGGATGTCGACGCACTCAGACCATAAGACATAATATCCGACAATGCTTTCCAGCCTGCGAATACTTTCTGGTTGCCTGTCTCCATCTCGGTTGAAAGACAAGCCATGAATTGTGCAAAGCAGCATTCACAATCAACACCTGGCAGCATCACCAGCCCAAGTGTTGGAAGTTCCAGCTGCAAATGCTAAATAAAGACTGCGACTAGAACACTACCTCCACGGATCTTCAGCAAAGATCACAGACGACCTCTGTGTGCCCTGCTTGGCGTGCATCAAGCCAGAGATTGCCGAGGCGCTTGAAAGGAAAGCAACCAGCCACGTCCAGATCGGATGTCTCTTGATGCTTGTGGCTCTGTTAGAATGTTGTGCACATGGTCCAGTTTAACTTCAGGAGTTGGGCATATCCATGTTCTGCGTGTTGCAGGCCATGTCGCGGGTCAGACAGTTCCTTGTGGGGTCGGCGCTGTCCGGCATCACGGGCGCCTTCATGCTAAAGCATTCCCGCCGACTTTACATAGCAGAAGTGCTATGGAAAACACGCAAGACTTTAAAAGTTGATGCACGAGCTGTGGTGGAGTGACAGCCAGGATGCACGAAATGTCGACCAATCAGATTGCTTTCTATTTGCGGGTGCAGGTCTTAGTAAATGCAGCTGTTGCCACAATGCAGTGATTCTAGTGACTCAGTGGGCAGCTCGTCTCTCTAATCCGATGGCTAGCAGACTTGTCCTCCCGAGGCCGTGTCATCCGGAAGCCAAACTTTCGAGCAGTCACACTGCCAAGCTTGGCCCCGGAATTTTTGCGTACTGGTACAGTGCAACAACAGACTGCTTTGAAGTATCTTGTAGTCTTGACGAGAACGTTTGAAACATCTTATAGGCCCGACGGCAACGGTGATGTCAGGTTCAGCCACCAGGGCTCTCTTCTTGCAGCTTTTGTGGATGCGCGAGCATGGAATAGGCCGCCTGACTGGCCTGGCATTGCAGACTGTTTGGCATGCCAGCAATTCGTTGACACGCTGAAGCTCCACTTTGCATGCCCTCTTGCAGCTCGTTTAAAGAGGTGGTTTGCTTTGCACAGGTTGGTTCTGGATGTGCACGGCAAAGTATTGGAGTGCGGACCTCGGTATTTTGAAGAGTCCTATAAGCAGCTCATTGAATACCTGCAAGATCAAGTCGACGTTCGTGAGCCAGCTACGTCACTGTTCCATACAACTCCCCGGACTTGACATCAATCACTCTGTTCAAGATGATTGTGCCACAACTTGATCTGGTCGAGGTTCTGGCCTCAAGAATAGATGATACGCAAGACGACAGACGATATGGGCATGGAGTATTCAGCTAGAAAGGTGTTCACACATGACCGAATATGAAATATGGGAGAGATTCATATATATATATATGGTAAAGGCCGGCTGGAGACAATGGGGGCATATCAATATTACAAAAGAAAAATATTGTACTTCTATATAGATGGAAAATTGCGACAAAAAATAATAAGATTTTGATAATTAAGAATAATATTATATATATTTATTGAAAATTTCTTATTTCTTTCATCTATTCGGAGAGAATGATACTTAAATAATACTTCGAAAACTATATGTATGAGATATTAAATGATATATTTATATATATAGAGATATATAGATATTATATATTCTATATGATATATTTATATTAGAATAATTATTGTTTGTTTAGATTGATAAAATATTTAATTTTAAATGATGGATGCATTTGGGATTTATAATTTGATAAGATTAGGGTAGATAATAAGGAAAAAATATTTTCGCGAAAATAAGGATGATATACGAAATTTTCATAATTTATTTTTTCTAATATAATTATATTTTTAATAAATATGTCGAAGTAGATAAATATTGAATTAAATATTCGCAATTCTGTAATAAATATTTGCGGTTATGATTCCGTGTGGGGCGTAGGCCCGCTAATTTTGTTTTTTGATACGATTCGTGTTGAAATTTTTTGTCTCGTGGATCTAGGATTGGTTGGATTTTGGGGTTATGAGTGTTACACTCGTTCTCGGTCCGAAATATTAGTAATTTTGGTAGATTTAGAAAATCTCGCGGTATTAATATTTCCGAAATTTTGGAAATTAGAGACGGATATGCTCGCGGGCATAAACTTTTTGATAGGCATATTTACGAATGTTAAAATTTTTAGGCATTTCGGCGAGCTTTTAGAGATCTCGCGGTATTAAAATTATAATCTCTATCTCTCTTTATTTATCTCTGACTTGGTGTCTGCCCTTGTCTCTACCCCTGGTTACTTGCTTGTCTGTCCGTTTGTCTGCCTGTCTGTCTACTTGTCTGTCTGTCTATGTATCCATCGGTCTATTCTTTAGTGTGTTTGTCTTGTATTTGTCTGTTTGTATTCCTATTGTGGGTCCGTTCATTTGTCTTTCTATTACTGTCTTCTTAATATATATGTATCGATTTATAATCGTTTATTTATATTTATTTATCTGTATCTATTTCTATTTATCTATATTTATTTAGATTTGGAAATGATTATTAATAAATATTCTAGAAATATTTCTATTTATTTCTTAGGGTCCAATAAAGAATCCCGATTCTTGAAATAGAAATCGTATTGGGTCCAAGAATCAAGTAATATTTGAAAATAGATCTACGAGAAAAATCTAGGTCTAAATATTATCTGTGCCTATTTTAATATTTATTTTTAGGCAGGAATAATTAAATGGATTTTCCGTGATTTTTTCGTGGTAGAAATGGCAAAGATATAATCTCCGAGTCCATTTTCTCACCTATTATCAAACCGATTTAATTATAAATAATTTTGCGTCAAATATTTTTATTTCTACGACGCATAGAAATAATTAGATAAGCAGCTTTGAAAAAATACATATAAATTCATAAAAATATATTTAACATTTTGTTCTTATTATAATAAATAAAATATGCCTATGTATTTTTTTCATTCGACATATAAAAACATGTTTTAGTTTACTTAGAATTTCCAAATATTTTTAAATATAAAATTCGAATATTCCCGAGAATAATTAATTATATCTTCAATATCATATTATATATATATTTCTATAAAAAAATCTTTTTATGTATTTCTATTTCTTTCACTCATCAATCCAATATTTTCAAATTCTAAAGAATTAAATCAAAAAATTTTCATTAAAAAACAAAGTCGGGTGTATAGAATTTAAGAAAATAAAAAAAATCCATATTTTATTTTCATGAAAATTTTTAAATAAATATGTATTTTTTTCTTTATCTACGATATTCATTTCATCAATAAGCGAAGAAAATATCTAAAAAGAATTATAAATTTTCAAGAAATATATCATAAAATAAGAATTATAGCAAGATTATTTTTATAGATTCTTATTTCAAGAGACTCAAGAATTTCCAATATTTTAAAAAACTTTTATTATATAATATATCTAAACCGAAACCCTCCAAACCCCAAAAAAATCTAGGCTTCGCTTCAATTTAAAGACATTTGTCAGCGATCCCAGCATACCGTTTGTCCCGGCAACCGTCTTATACAAACCCGAAACTGGAGGAAGCTTATAGAATATATTTTTTTTTAAAAATACCAACGATAGAATATAACGAATATATTCCATATTATCGCGCTACTTGCTATTCATATCAATTTCGACTAAAGTTATCATATTACTGAATTAGGCAACGGACCTTGTAACTAACGGCGTTAGATTTCCATTCCCCATATAATAATATCATGCATCTCATGAAGCGTCAGACAAAACTCAAAATGGTGGCATCATGAAAAAACCCAAAACGCTAAGTACATGATCCGACTTAGAACTAAATAAAGATAAATACATACATAAATACATAAATACATAATACATACATCTATATATATGTGCATACACACTGTTTTGTATGTAATGATCGCGCCGTATTGATGGCTGCGGCTGCGTACTGTCGATATTTTCATAGATTCCTCATCCTATAAGACTCTAAACGGAAAAGGTGAGGATATGTTACTTAATCATTTGCCTCCAGATATGAAATTAACGCTATGGGGCCCTACTGCATGTGCCTGCGTCGATTCTGTGGGTTCCAGCTAAACAGCTCACACCTAACAATCTCCACCGCAAGGCAGGTTTCCCAACAAGCGAAGCTCCGCGTGCCACTGGCGACGCATCTGCATCCAAAGAGTTGCCTGTGACAGGACGAGAGATCTTACAAGCTATACTGGGGTCACTGATCAGCTCAATACTGGCGGTCGTGTATTCAACATAAAATGCAACAAAAGGGCATGTAACGGTAAGTATATACAGTACCCCTGAAGTGCCCCCGCTCTTGGGGTTCTCAACAGGTTCAGTACGGCCGCATCTATGGGCAAGACATGCGGCAAGGACCACTCCTATGAAACATGCCAAGGCCCGCATCCTGCGCGTGACTCAGCGGCGGGTGGGGTTTCTTAAAGGGAACATCACCCCCTTTCCTTGCATGCTTCATGCTCCGTGTCTCTCACTCAATTTGTGTTTCATGTGTCGATTGATGTGGGCTCAACTAATTGCGGATGTTCCGACCTGTGTGTAACCCAACTGTTGTGCAGCGCCTGATCCCCGCTGTGAGGGGATCTAGTCTAGTTGTGACGTTGTGGTGACTCTCGCGACCATGCGCCTCTCATTCACAACGGGTGTTGTCAAGCGTTGGATCTTGGCTAGGCTGCAAGCTTCACGCAGCGATCTGCATCTTCGCCGGTATGATGCAGTGCTTGGAAGTTTGTCCCGAAGGCGTGTCGTTGGGAGAGGCCCACACACCGATCCGTAAGAATCCGATGTCATACCCGAGTTATGCAAATTGGGATCAGCGTAACGGTCATTATGCCGCGATCGAATCATGGAGTTTTCGTGTTGATTTGTTACAGTAGCAAGCTACATCAAATCGCGAAAACTGCGTCATGAGATCTGAGATGCGCAACTGCACAACCAGAGCGAAGCTGGATATGCTTGCACCTGTTGTCCGGGTAGGTGATGCCGCCTGCAGACGGGCCTCAAGCATTGGCAACCCATGTTCGGTTGGGTGACTGTTCAGGCCTCAGGCTCTGGAAAAGATGCAGACTCCAACACTTCGTTTTGTTCCACCGGCTGGAGATGAGGGTCTCGCACGTAGAGGCACATTGGCATGCAGATCGCAACCAGCTTAGCCTGATTCGTTCTTGTGCCGAGTGCTTGATCGGCCCGCATGTTGCAGGCCCTCACTGACGAAAACTTTGCATGCAATTAAATTAGAATTCAAGCTACTGGGACAATGGCTGCTCAGACACCGATCAGTGACCCTTTCATTTCAGCTCACAGAACCGCTTCAACTCTGGCAATTGTCCCAGTCGGCAAAGTGAGACGTGCCATTTTGCTTTGGAGAGTTGTCTGCCGCCCCGGGCACACGACACGAATGGACAAGCAGCACAACGGAGTGCAGGTATGTTGAATCACGCAATCATGGAAGTGTACGTGGAAAGCCTGGCGGGACCCCTTCACAAGTGCACCTTTAGGCGGGCGCCCCTCAAATGGCATCTTGTCCACACCTTGGCCATCGAGGACAGGCGAAGGTGCCAGAGCCGGCGCACGATACTCCACAACCACTCTCCCGACGATGGAACGCCCCAGCTCCCAGACCGAGACTCCTAGCCAGCCAGTCTGGGAGCCAAGCTATGCCAGGCTGCTGGCGGGTCGCAGCTTGCGTTCACCTCATGTGGTCTTAGTGCAAAGACGCAACAGCAAAAACTAAGTACCTTGAAACTTATATTTCAAAAAGAGGCACGCTCCTGTTTGTGGTTCTCGACTTTGACAACGAATCGGAGGATGAAAAGCTGCTTGCACAAGCAGATTCTACCGGATAATATCAGATGCGAACCCTGTCCACTTACAAGCTCCGTGGTTCTCTTGAGGACACTGTCGGCTTCAGCTGCGGTTCGTGCAAATTCATGAAGTTGGTGTTCACTTGGCGTTCACAGACACTGGATATGGCAGTGTGATGAAGCAGGTGTCAACGGTGTTGTTTGAGCCTCCGAGTCTGCGGCCATCTGTCGAGCTTTCCGGCCTGGTGGCTGTGGTCCCCATGGAGTGCGGCCTGTTGCTGCAAGCTAATGCTAATGCTGAGGAGGAAAATTCCCCAAACAGTGTGGTTACACTACATGTATAGGATTGATTGCTTCGTTGATATCTGTCCGCGCACTGCGCGCCCGGAAAAATGCAAATTCCCTGCAACCTAGTAGTTTTTCCAAAAATTACAGCAAATGCCGCACATCAGGTGCCCAC